ACGGTCCTTTGATGAAAATCTTTGGGAAACTGGTTCAAAATAAATTGTTATAAAATGCTTTGTAAATCCGGATTACCGAACCATGCATGTAGGAATGTAAGTTACATAAAATTAATATAATATAGTTTTTTGCATTTACTTACAAGACTTGTGATTCTTCAATGTGAGGATTCACACCTGCTGCTCTTGTTTCCATCCTCATAAGACTATTTGGTTTAGGTTTTGCGGCTGTTGGAGGGGGCTCGCATGTCTACAACCAAATCGAGAAACTCAAAATAGTTTACTCTTAAACATGAGTGTTTTTTAGTTCAAGACACTAAACTGAGTTTTGTTTAGGACAATGAACATAAAAGACAAAGATACTGAAAACTCTAATTAGAATAGTGAAGTGACAAAAGTTACCTTTGCGAATCTGCTCCTCAGCTCAGTTGTCCAATCACCTAAGGCTCTTATGTGAACACTTAAATAGTCATCTCCTGGTGCGGAAGTGATGGAGAATGGATGCCTAAATGATAATAAACACCGTTATTACTATTTACCTAAAAAATTATGATTTAAATTATTTTACTAATGTATAAATTATTATTTAGATTACCATTCGAATTTTGATAGATCAGGACATTTGACAAACATGTACATGCCACTTTTGTATTTGAACCCGGGAGGTTTCGTCACGTAAAGTGCAAGTACGTTGCCCGAATATACAATTGCCTGTAAAAAAGAAAAATGAAAAGGATAAATAAATAGATTTATGAAGTTTTTCTTAGTATACACAAAATAATAACCTTTTTAATTACCTTAATAACGTGGACGCGATGGCTGTGTTCTTGAAGGAGACGTGAAAAAAGCCTCTCAGTTGCGTAGAACAGCATCGGTACGGCCACGTACATCCATGTCTGCATTTCAAGTTTACGAAAAAAATTACATAAAATTTATAACAGTAAACTTTTTCCAATGAAAGTGAGTATATATAAATAAAAAGAAATCTTAATTACCGTCTTCTCGTACCAAGGCTTCTCGATGATAAGATAGTAACCATGTATGATGAGAAGAATATAAGCAAGAACGAGCAAATGATGAGCATACCAAAACGCATTAAAGCCAGCAAGAACGTTAAACGGTTTGGGCAATTTCACTATGTTCCTTCTAAAATAATGCATCGCCAGTGTAAACGCGAATCCCATGAAGATCATCATCAAAACTCCCGTAACCGACACTGACGTCATCATTAAACCTAGGTAGCTCGGTTGCGTGTTTCCTAAGGCAGCTGCCCCGTACTTCAAGAACACGTCGTGAGAGCACGTACTTAACCTAGGGTAATTACAGAGAATGTGGAGTAGCGTGTGGAGAATCGCATGGAACGCGATGGCAAACGCAATCACCTTGTGGAAGTTTATGTTGTCGTCGAACGGGATCATGCGGTTCAAAAACGTTGACCTAAGGATAGTTAGGGTTTTTCTACAGACCGGGACCAAGATCAGAGCCATGTTGAATTTAAGCGTTTCCGCAGCGCCTTTAGCGGCGCAAACGCACCGTCCGGTGATGTTGTAGAGAGGGTTTCTCGTGAATTCTTCGTACTTCCACATGAATAGATAGATGTTGACGAGGATCCACAAAATGAGGACCCAAATCTTCTTCCAATTGTCGTGCACCAGTTCCGCGGTTACCGAAATGTACTTGCTTACTGGCGTCCTGTACCGCTGCGGGATCATCGCGCGAGTCAGCGTTGCCGATTTCTTCATCTTCTCCGTGTCAGCGTTTGACACCATCCCTGTTAATAGTATTTCTAGCTGCCACATCTGGTAGATATAAACTAAATGGTCAGTACACAGCTTCATTCATAGTGAGATAAATAAAAAGAGATCAAGAAGTAAAAAATTCAAGATTATTCAAAAAATAAAAAATAAAAAAAAAATCTGAACCTCGATGTAACCCTTGTGATCAGGATCAAGTTCTTCCATGATTAAAGAAGCATATGCAGCAGCATTTTTTTTTAGATTCCCGAGTCGGTTCGCAGCTGCGCTCAAGACTATGACTTCTTTGACTTCCTCTTCTGTGAGCTTACCATCTCCGTCCTTGTCACACCTAAATCACAACCACAAAATTTAAACTAGCTAAACGCATTTAGATATATGTGAAAACGTATGATATTATAAAGTAATTTACATGTCGAAGAAGATTTGGAGACGACAATCGAGGTCTTTCTTGATCATGTCTTCCCAAAACAGCTTGAGTTGTTCCTTGTCGATACCGTTTTCTGTCTCTATTTGTCTTCTACGACCTAATGCCTCGTATACTTCTGCCGCAAACTCCATTGTATCTCCCATTCCTATCAATATATTTATACATATATACTATATCGACGTTAAATTTTCTTTTCTAGCAAACAAAAAAAAGTTTTTAAAATAAAGAGTTAACCTTCACACGAAAATTAAATAAATAAATAAATAGTTTTGTTAATTACCGATGCAGACGCCAAACTTTTCTTTAGGCAACTTTCCGTCAACAGAAAACTGATTAAACCGGTTCTCAATCGATCTCCATGCATCTCTTTCCCGTCCTGTGACCGTCCGGTCAAGGAACCGTAAGCTCTGTAGTCCCCTAGCGGCGGTAGATTGTGTCCTCTCCACTCTTTGTGGACCCGTCTTCTTGGCGGGCCCCGCGTTGACCGGAGGCCCAAGGTTCCCACTTTTTCTTGTGCTAGGAGACCCGAGATTCCCGCTCTTTCTCCAGTTCGAAACGCTCAACGTGCGGATTATCGATCCCACGCCGAGATTCCTTGACGTGTTCCTCTTATGACCACCTTCGTTCTTGTTCGGGTTAGTGTCGGGTCCTTTGGTCGAACCCTCGCCCATTGAGTCGATCTCTACACTCTCTAACATCCATTTTGTTGGTTCCTCGGTAGGAGTGTTGTTTTTCATAGTATTTGGTTTCTTTCTCCGGCACCGATGATTGATTGATGAATCGTCGGAGATCTTATATTTCTATGTTGTTTCCCTGTTAGATCGTTTTGTTTTGTTTTGTTTGTTTTTTTAAAATGGTTTTATCGAATTATTCGATGAGGAGAAAAAGTAGGAGGAGAGGCATTGATTTTTCTGTCGTTTGCAACATTTGTGTTTTAGTTTATTTAGTTGGGAAGCGAAACACATGAAGAGTTTACTAAAAATAAAAAGTTAATTTTTTTAAGGTCAAACACACACAGACCAATCAAAGACCTATGAAAAGAAGGAACTTATGAATTTGACTTGGTGCCAATAGAAAGTTCACGTAAATTAAATCATATTAAACGGCGATAGCAAAATACAGTATGTTTTCTTACTAAGAAAATGTTAACTAAAGGTCTAAAGCGTTTTTTATCCTATGGTTGACCAAAAACATATAAATTTGATACCTAGTTTGGAGTTCAGATTCAAGATTATATATACGCAAATGCGGTCATTGATAATTTATAAAAAAAATCGGAAGACCATCATGTCGCACTGCAGCGCCTAATAGAGAAAATATTGAAAGTGTAACATCCAAGACTTGGACCAACTTGAATTAATTTGGGCCTGAATTGGGCTTTAGATGGGCCATTAATACTGAACTCCCTTTATTTCTGCAATACACGAGCCAATCTTGATGCTCTTCGGACACTCTTATAATGGTCTGACCCTGATGCTCTTTTCTACGTCTGAACCCACACATGCCGCTACTGTCCTCGTGTCCAGTGAACTGCAGACATGTGGCGATAGTCCTGCCTTTGTCACGTGCCACCCGACCCCTCTCGGTTGACCCTGAACACGATATGTGGTCATAAGTTGTCCCAATTACTGCCGGTGAAAATGCCAATGATGAGAAGGCGGCAAAATCTAGAGTGTGGCAACCAAAGATTTGCGTACGAAAGTTTTACAGCGACTCACGATTTTCAGAGGCACGATAAACCGTACGTTTTGTACGATTCGGACAAAGATGATTCGTATTGTAAAGATACTTGTTTTGTTGTTGTCAACGACGATGGATTTTGTATTTGGAGCAATAACCAAAGAAAATGGGGCAAGGTTTTTCTAATATAAATCATATGTTTTTTTGTCCTGGTTCAATTCAAATGTAACAACATATGTTTCTCTATTAATTAATTAGTTAACATTTTGCGGTTCAGTTCAAATATTACACAACATTTTGTTTATAATTAATCAGCCGATTAAGTAACGATCGGTTTAAACCAAATCCCAAAAGGGTCTTGCCAACTTTTCCGAGTTTATAAGGTGTTTCATTCTGCTGGCCTTATGTGTACTAGATGAACGCCCACGCTACGCGTGGGTTGACATCTTACATCTTGTTTGTTTATCATTGCTTTGTTTATTTGTTATATATGGCAGTGGGTAATTATATTGGTTATTAGTTGCCATTTAATTTGAAAGTGTAAGTGAACGTTTTGATACGTGAATAAAGATGTGAATCTAAATGGTGTTATGAGAAATTTAGTGGTCTAGATAATGTTATTTATTATGTTTGATTTTGATATCGATAATGGTCGTCTCTCTTTCGAAAACCTTGTTATTGTCACTTGTACCTTTTATATATGCTCTGAATATTATTATATGCTTTTCTTATCAGAAAAATATGTTTCTTCATCAATCTCCTATGTTTTTTTTTTTTTTTTTTTTTGTTAACTGAAAATTATACAATACATAACTGCGGGCGACCAAACAGTGAAATTATTTGTCTAAAAGATCATTATGTGAGAGAACTTTTGTAAGCTACATTCCCTTAAGCGTTACCTTTAGTCACAATCACAATTTGCAAGATAACAAAAATACAAAAAAACTAACTTAAACCATTACGGTCTCCTTTTGAACCTGAAGGCAAACCGATCCTCATATATACTCCGAAAAGAACAGCTCCATGAAACTACTCGTTATGCCCAGGTCTTTCTTTCATCATGTACTCGGTTTTTTGTTGAGAAATTCTTTGGATTTAAGACTCTCAGGCTCCTTCATGTAAAACGATGAGCCACGTCACCTCCTTCTATCTCCAACTCCCACGTCATTCATCGTTAAACCAACCCGATCAAAAGATCCTCCAATTAATCTCAACATTCTATCTCCAACTCTCATGCTTAACACAACAGGAACAAAGATCCCCCAATCAGTTGCGAAGCCAAGTCTCTATTTTCCATCAAAGAAGAAAATGGTGTTAATTACATGTCTTTGAAAACTTTGAAAACAATAACCAAACCCTTTAGCATTTTGTCGAGAAAATCTTAGCTACAAAGCGGACAACTAAAACATGTTCAAATGAGATAACACATTACTCTCGACTATGCAAACAAACACGCTATATCGATCTGTGGTTTTATAGGCAGAAGATAATACATGTAATTATTAGTTAATATGGTATGATCGAGTGAGAATTTTCAAACCTCAAATTGGCCAATCTCACATGCATTCACTCTAGCTGCAAACCTAAGAGAGCAAAGGGACTCTCCAGTAGAAGAAGATGGATCAGGTGACATGTTCACAAACATTAGAGTCTTTGAGTCCCCTCCTAAACATGGCTGTTCAACAAACAATTCTCCTTCATTAGTTAGATCCATATAGAGGCAATATGTGCATACAATGATTCAGGAGTATGTAATCTAACCTGGAGCAGATATGTTAACTTGGAGTTTCTGAAAGGAACGTGATCCTCTTTTTTTGCCAATGCAAATATGACATCACTCAAAGCAGATAAGCTTTTGTTTATAGCCTGGTGAAAACGAAAGAACAGAGATTAGAGAGTAAGTGCAAAGGCTACACGGAAATAGCCTTAGAAGACTCTCATTGTAAAGCAAAAATACCCGTGTCTCCTTTAACCGCTCTCCTGTTGCCCTGCTCTTTGATTAGTCCCTCACTTCCAGCAAGGTCAATTAGGTTAAGAACTCCTTGTACTTGCTGTCCAGTGCTCTGAAATAGGGAGAGTTGATGTTTAAGAAGAATTTCAAAGCGAGAGATAAATTCTACAACTCAAAAAAGAAAAAATCATAAAGGCAAAGAAAGTCAGAAAACACCTTGGATTTGGTCGACGACCTCGAAAGTGTGCGGCTTGGCGGAGGAAGAAATGGCTTTGGAGGCCATGGTGGCTAGATCGAGGAAAAAAATTGAGGGTTAAGCGATAAAGAGGTCTGCAGCTTCGGATGCGTTGTTTGGCATGGATGAGCTAGGGATTTATAGCCAGGGAGAGTGAGAAGTTCAACCGAAGCATCCATTAACTCTCAAACCTGATTGACGATCTGATATGAGAAACGGATTCGAAGAAGAGGAATCAGAATCGTGAGTCCAAGAGGAAGAAGAAGAGTCGAATTGTTTAATGGGCTCAGAGGGACGAATCTAATGGGCTTATTTTGTTTAGATTTTTAACGACGAATGAGAGTTGGAGATAGAAGGAGGTGACGTGGCAACATGGAAAAGAAGCAAAAACAGCTGAGCTGGGTGCCTTGAGAGGTCCCAGACAGCTCCTTTAAGTTATTATAGATAGATAGATTGTTTCGATAATATTGTTTTTTTTTTTTTTTTTAATGTTCACAAGCTTAGTGTGAACTTACCAAATTCTATGTGTAGATATATTGATACAAAGAAAGTGGCTGTTATCAAAATCTCTTACATGCATGATGCATTTTTAAGGACGTCCACACAAAATATCAATCTGTCATGTCAAAATTCTAGTAATATATAAATTTTTGGATTTTTTTATTTTCTTTTTTCATATAATAATAAGTCAACCTTTACAACCATGACATTCATGTTTTTGAAAAGAACCGTTTCGAGTTTCTCACCTATTATGCAACGTTATTACTTGTGTGTGTTTATATATCTATACACACACATGCGTGTGTATCTCACTATATTTATGTACTAGTAGAAATTTAGAGAATATAAAATCTAACCAACCACTGTAAGGTCAGATCTTAGTTGACTTTGCCCACGTTTTAATCAATCAGAATCAAGTAGACTTGATATTCTTCAACTTTATTTGGTTCCAGTGTTTTAAATTATTACCAGTATATATATTTAATTTACAATTATTCTCAAAATTTGAAAAATTTCTGTAAAATACTGTTCTGTCAAATAAAATGATATGCATCTTTAGGGCTCGTACAATACCCATCCCAAGTCCCAACCGACCTCGGATTGAACGGGTCATCTCTTCTCGTAGTGTTTTTTTCGATCAACTCTCCTAACTGTTTATGTATCTAATTCACTGATCTTCTGAATTTTCTTGGTAGCTTATAAATTTGACTCTTTCAGTTGATAAATTTGATGACAAGATAAAGATCAGTTCGTAAGAAAAAAATTTGGTAGTTTTATTTTGATTTGTTATTTCTTTGGCAAATCATTTTCTTTAAAAAAAATACAAGAAAGGTGAGGAAAGGGAAAGAAAGGGACAGTGATCGACGGAGAAGGCTTATCTTAGAGAAGGTGCATTTTTTGCCACACCAATCTTTCTTTGTCACCGTTAGTCAACTTCGCACCTCTTTTTCCACCCTTTCAAATTTTGATTTGAATATTTGATATTGATCTTATGTATGCACTTGACAAGAAATAGTGCTTACAATAAAAGAAAAATCGTCCGAATATATACATCTTAGTCAAGTGAAAATTGTTAGCAAATAGCGTAAATTTTGGTGTCAACAAACTTACTACGTGTTTACTAATTTGGTGAATATAATTGTGTGGCGTTTCTGTTCTTTATTCAAAAGTGTGGTCAACAACTCTATAGTAGAAAAGGCCGGTAATATAATTTTAATTGTTACCTAAAAAGCAAAAGTAATTACATTTTTTTTTTTCACTTTCAAAAATACTGACTAAAATACAAATGCATCCCGTTGACTTTCCAAATCAAAAGAAATATCATTACATTCAAGCCTAACCCATTTTACCTGTTTCGGAAAGTTACTTCTTCATTCCAGTTCTTAATTTTGTCCTTAGGGTCTTCCTATAGGCTATATCTAGCCCAATATATATACATCGTGTTCGACATATACATCCACTCATTTATACAAATGACATCGAAGCGATAGAATAAAAGCAGTGTTGACTATACAAATTGTAAGTTCATAGCGATCAGGGGTTATTTGTTTTTTAGCTACTATATATAACTCTCTGACAACTTTGTTTTGTTAAGTTATCAGACAACTACAAACTGGAAGAGTGAATCTGATCAATAAAAATATATCCTATATTAGGAAACATTAGGGTTTAGCTTGAAAGAAGACCTAATATATCCTAGGCAAAGTTTAGAGGTCACATGATCGAGTGTCGTTTGGAACAAAACTAATATTATATGTTGTGGTTTCGGATCTGGGGATGTATGAGCTTCGGCCCAAAACCTTCTAGTTATTCAAAAAAATATATATATATATATATATATATATATTATATTCTTTTTCAAAAAGATTTATCTAATTTAACTTGCTAATAGTGACGGGTTTTAATGTATGACGGTCTCAAAGCTTAACGTGAGTCGATAGATGAAAACGATTGAGTAAAGAAAAAATTGGAGAATATGTGAAAATGGTGGAGAAACTATTGTGCTTGTTGACCTTTTTCTCTTTCCCAAAAGATTGAACAAACGCATAGAAACACATGCACGAGTACTAATTAACATTTAAAAAATTAAAGAAATTAAAATAAAACAAAATGATGGGATCATTTAAAAACATCTTAATCAGACCGTCTTTCTTTGATTTGTCATGAATATGCTTTTCTTTCAACCAAGAAGAAGTAACCCTACACATTTTCATTTCTTTAGATCAGAAACTCTTTGTGCACTCATTGCCTACATTTATGCTATTATCATTGCTTTCTATAGGCACGGACTATACAATTTGCATATTGCCATTAATATTTCGTAAAAGAAAAACATCTCGCTTTCTTTTTTGTCTCGAACCCGACCCTTTTATAAGCTAAGAAATGTTAGGATTGGAAATTCGAAATCAAGATGTCTATGGACCTGCATAAACTATACTGGCTTGACCAAAACAAAAGGAAATGTAACATACTCTGTTTGATATGTACAACATAACTAATACTTGAAGATTCGTAGCAATACCATGAGAAATGTTGTATTCCTTCTGTCACATATTATAAACAGTTTTGGCATAATGTATCTGCAATTTTCATCCATATACATCCAGAAAATTGCAGATAGATTATGCCAAAACAGCTTATAATATGGGACAGATGAAGTATATTATAAGCTGTTTATGTATCGATTCCTGCTAAAAAGAAATATTTCAAAATTAAAGTTTTCAGCATATAGCACCGAAAATTTTCACATGATTTAATCAAACTTGAGTAAAAAATAGGAATCACACGGAAAATACAATGTTATTCAACCGTTGACCTTGTTGAAACTACAAATAGTTATAATTGTTGGGTGTCAAATAACCAAAGTGGATTAGACAGTTCCCAAAGTAAACCAATAATATCTCCATATTGATAAAGGTACAAAAAATGATAAATACAAAAACTAACGTTTCCTATTGGATCGTTAAAACTTAAAACTAGTTATGAACCAACCATAGCATGAAACGTATAGTTTTTGGTACATGATGCAACAAAGTTTACCACAAAATAGAAAAAGTCTTCGTTGCAATCGATTGATCTAGAGATTTTGCTTTTGCATGACCTTTCCCATCATCCTGTGGCGATTTTGCCCTTAAAGATACATGAAATGTGTTTCTAATAAGTCCCATAGTACATCTATTCACTGTAGGAATCGAGATCCTATGTCCTGGTAACGATTGCGAATTATTATCTATGTCTCCTCTTTATGTGGGGCACCGTTTTATAGACTATTTTATTTGATGTTTTGAAATGTCTGCAAGAAATGGTAGAGATACATATACAGTAGAATAATTAAACAGAAAACGTAACATTTAAAAATTGGTGTGATTCTGAATGTAAAACTTTGTCTTATACAGTTTAGAGTGTAAAAAATATAATTTTGCATGCGTAGTGTTCTTTTTTTGTGTGTGCAAATGTGAGTGCTCTTAAAAACTAAAACTACGTATGATTAAGTTAAGACACGAAGCTTCCGGTGAAGTTATAGATCGATCAATCATTTATATATATAGATGATTCTACTGGACATACGAAGCCTATGCTTTTGTTGGACTTTTTATCCCGTAGATGAAATAAAGCTACGTAACTGTTTGATATATATAGTGTTCTCGAAGGAGAATAACAATGATTTTCCTTAATTCTGCGGAAATAGCAAAAAATACAGTTTAACAAGATGACTCTACATTACTCTTTTTGTTTCATAATATATGGGGTTTAAGGTTTTTGCACACAGATTAAGAAGGTATTTAATTTTAAAACTTTTTGAAATAAAATATGTTTTATCATTAATTTCAAAACATTTCAACCAATGAAAATTAAATCTGTATAATATAAATAATCAAAAGTAACAAAACACATTTAATTTTGCATAGAAACTCTAAAACCCCTTATATTTTGAAACAAAAAAAAAGTCTAAAACTCCTTATATTTTGAAACAGATGGAGTATTGGTTTATTATTCAAGCATACAACTATTTATCATGTGAACAAAAAAAGACTCATTTTGGTTTAGGGAAAACATTAACCAAGTTAATGCAGTTTGGTTAAATTTGACTAAGAACTTAATTTTTTTTTTCGATTGGTTATCATCTTCCAAATTAATAGTTTTAATAAAGAAAAGTAAACATAATCATTTTAGTTGAAATTTGGACAGAATTGGATAAACAAATGAATATCATCTGGTAATATCAAATATGGGGATTACTTTCTAAACTAAATAAAACAGTGACTGGGGAGATTGTGTGTCCTAATCCTAATTATGGATAAAGTGTGGCTTTGACTGGGAGATTGAAAAGTTGTTTTGATCTTAAATGAAAGAGGATATATTATGATGAGTAGGTCGATCTAGTACTGAATAAAACGTGTTCCTACAATATGTTGGTACATATGCAGTAATCCTAATATTCGGATGCCATTCTTGGGATGTCATAAATCGTAAGTTACAAATATCTACAAAATAAAAGTAAGTGTTTTACCTTAGGGTTAGGTAAAAAAATTGAGATATTTCTTTCGATATATTACCTAAATCGATTTTCTTCCAAAAGAAATATGGCTAACCTGAGTTATTATGGGTGGAAACGAATATCAAATTCAAGTATAAATCAGAGCAAAGAGAATTGATTCAAGAAATCGATACGTATTTTTTGTATGTTCATACGTGCGTGTCTAAAAGATTGCGCTTGAGCATAAACTCCAAAAAGTTACGTTGCAATTATGAGAAAATTATTCGGTATTTATAGATGAAGGTTATTTTACGTTTTAATCTAACTTCAAAAAGTAAATTACAATGTTAATGACAAAAATAACATTTGAAAGAAAAGTTGATACCTTTTAACGCTGTGAATACAACAATCCTTACATCTATCTTATTATATAAAGCTGGATGCGCACGACGTGGTTGCGACACGTAGGATTTTTATAAAATATAGGATTGCGACATGTGTCACTTTTAATGTTATATCCGTTAAGATCGTGACACATGTCTTCGGAAAAAGGAAATTTTTATTTTAAAGGAAAATTTTAATATCTTATAATAAAAACGAAATTTTATATAATAAAATAAAAATAATGTAATAAAAAATTCCTATTAGTATATGGAATAGGTATGTAAACTAAATATCCTAAAATTATATGGAATAGGTTATATAAACTCCTATTTAAAAAAATCCTATTAGTACATGTAATAGGTATGTAAACTAAATATCCTAAAACTGTATGAAATTGGTTACATGAACCCCCTATAAAAAGAGAGCTACTGTAGTCTCTTTTTCTCATTCACAAACTCATCAAAGCAAATTCAGAAAATCTCTTTGATTCTCTTTCTCTAATTTCAAAATCATGTCTTTGAAAGTTCAAGAGAACAGTGGAGATTATTTGACTCTAGGTCAATTGGATCGAAATTAAAATTATTTGAATAAAATCCTATTAGTACATTAGGAAAAATCAGAAAACAGGAAACAAACAATTAAAAAGAAAAAATATTACATCCATTATGAGAAGTAAAGAAAAAACATAATTCTATTACGAAAAGGAAAAAAAAACGAAAATCAGAAAAACATGAAGAAATAATTAAAAAATGTTACATCCAATAAGAAAAGGAATAAAAAAACATATTCCCATTACGAAAATGAAAAAAAAAAATATATAACAAGCTATATTTTTTAAGTTTCTTTCTCATTAAGAAATAAAATTCATGTCTTTAAAAGTTAAAGATATCAATGAAGAATACTTAACTTTAGATCGATACATGTGTCTAATATTTGATGAAGTGATGACATGTGTCAACACAAGAAAATTGGAAAAATGTAGTAACATAAATAAATAAACTAACAAAATAATATTAAAACAACTAACTAATAATGAAAATGAAAATTTATAATGGTCAGAGGCAAAAACGAAATTGAAAAAGAAACAATATAAATAGAAAACTAACAAAATAATTATTAAGGAACTAAATAATATTAAAAAAGAAAATTTTATAATGACTGATCTTCTAATATTAAATAGTTTAATTTTCCATGTTTTGTTAGGTAAAAAAATATTAAAAATAAAGATTTCATAAATAATCAAAGTTTCATAAAATAATATCGGGTTTTTAATATTATTTTCTTATTTTTAAAATTGATCAAATTTTGTTTAATATTCTTCCGTGATTTAAAAAAATAAAAATAAATAAACCCGCGTATACGCGGCCTAATCTAGTTAAAATATAAAGTTGTAAGTATGCAATTTGAACAGTTCGCACCACTTAATAATGACATCCGAGGCTTTAAGTTAGGACCACATCTAACTCTAGTTCCGAAACAATGGATATGCGTTTGATTCAAATTTTGATAAACATGTCGGCTGATGTGGTCTTAACACTTAATTTTGGTATTAGTCTGACTTTTAATTTAGAAAGATTAGTATTCAGAATGATATCGATTAATGTACGTTTATGGATATGTTTCGTTATGATTTTTTTAAAAATGTTTGTTATGATTTTGATGTTGGTTTTAATTCAAAATTTGCCACATAATTATTTAATTTTCAGAAAAATAGTTTCAACTTATATTTTTTTTGAAATTCTGTCTGACAATTGATTAAGTGTTAATTATATACAGTATAACAAATTTATTTTTCACTAACTAAAATTTTATTTGGTTTTCGAAAATTGCAAAAATACCGCAAATTATACTACTACTTTTTATTGTTGTTGTTTGGTAATTGGTACGTATAGTTTATTGTCCTGACCAGACTAAACACCCATTAAATGTGAACATACCAAGCATATCAGATCAAGTATTTGGGCTTAATCAGTGTTGATTTAGAAAATGATTAATTAGGTGATAAAGTAGATTTTTATGCTGCTCACATGGGTTTGCGTGAATTAATGCTTTTAGTATCTTTTTGTCTCTCCTACATTTCGAGCTAAAAAGCTAAGTCGTGTCTTTCTTTTGTTTATTTTAACTGTAAATTGTTCTTTTGCCGTTAAGAATGTTGCACGAGATATATTATTTCTTGTTTATTTACATGGTTAGTTATTATGATATATTACATGGAGACGAAGCTTTACAGATTCTCAAAATTTTGAAGAAACAACAAAATTTGTCCAGCATGAATCAAATCTCCAGTCGATCAAGAAGTTTGGCGAAGAATCAATATTTTATGGTTAGTGATCAAACAGAATGTTCTTAATTATGTCGTAAACTACTTGCTCTAAAAATATTTAACCTGCAGCTCAATTTTTTTTTTTTGTAAAGGTATCGAAGTGTACTAAACTGAACAAAAATATGATAGACGAAAAACCATACCACATGTATTACCTTTTACAGTTTGGATGATTGAAAATTATCGTTCATATCTTTTTGCAAAACCTTATAGCAACTTCCAGTATTATTCTGAAATACGTTGTATTAAATAGAAAGATAAATATATAATTATAAAAATTCAAAACGAAATTTAAAATCATTATATGCAATTATTAAATTTCTTAAATCCTAACACTGTTATCTAGCTTTACTTCTTCAAGTATGCTAAAATGAAATAATGACGGGTGAGATAGAAGCGACATGAAAACGAAAGGCAAAATTCTTTCATAACTAAAAAGATTCCTTTTTATTTTCAAGTCAGTCAAAAGAAGTCAACTGTTAACTCAGTTGACCCAAAATGACGATTAATGACGTCAGCATCAACTCCTGTCTTCTTCTCATTCATCTGTTTAAATAGAAACCAAACCAGTTCGACTTTCCCTCACTCATCACACACACACACACACACAAAGATACATAAACACAACCCAAAAAACATCCATGTGTGGACACGTCAGCACCTCCGTAGTCCTCGACGATGCATGTCCATGTTTTATATACTCCGACGACATAGTGGCTCCTCCTCTGCCCCAAGATCTTCGTCATCAGTTTCTTCCTTCGCCGCCTCTTATGATGAGCCACCACTCGCTATTCGGGGCCGAGGCGGTTTCAGGGTTTGGTTACTTTGACTCAGGCATGAGCGGTGGCGGCGCAAGCAGCAGCTGTGAGTCCCCGAGCTCTATGGGGAGCGGCGGAGAGAGTCTTATGATGCAGAGGAGTGTCAGTAGCCATAATGGCTTTTATGGTAATTTCGCGACGACGGCTCACGATTTCGTTAGCGATCATGATGGGCCAGCGAGACGGGCCCTTAGCGCCGGAGATCTACCGGTAAGTAATATTATATACACACTTGCATGACGACATGTATATATTCAAAGTTTCAAACCTACTACTACATACGCAAACACCAAACGGAAACGGAACTTTTGCGTTAACATTAATTGACAAATATATTGTCTGAAAATACTAAAAGATGAGGTTTTGATTAGAGAATAACATTTATATTAACTACACCGTTTTGGTATGTGTGTAGAGGAGTAGCAAAAGAGAGAACAATACGGTGTGGAGTGAGAGCAATGCAATCATAGAAGGAATGAGCAAAGCCTACAAGTATAGTCCCGAGGAGAAGAAGGAGAAGATTGAGAAATATCGTAGCAAACGAAACCTTAGGAATTTCAACAAGAGGATTAAGGTAAAAAAAAATTACGTTTGAATATTAAATTTCACTATTTTGTTTTTGCATATATATAGTTTAAAAAATTATTTTAGCATATATTCGGTTATATGAACGAATTAATGTTTGAATTCATATTGTCCTTCAACATGGAGATATGCATGAATACATGTCACATGGAAACTTGTATAGACTTGACATGTAGTTGTTTGAAACAGTGACATGCACCTGCACACTTATTGATGCTAACCCTTTCATTTTATAATCAAGCATATATCTCTTCCTGTAGTTTTTTTTTTTGGTAAAAAATCTTCGTATAAGTTTATCCGTTAATCAACTTAAAAGTGAATATTATGAATCTCACATACAAGAGCATTAAGTAATCCGCATATATCTATTTTGATATCAAATTTATTAGATGTAAATTATTTTCTAAGACACGAATTCACTTTTCATACAAAACTACATGGCTCGTTGACTAAAAAAAATAATAAATTGGCTCAATATATCATATCAGTCGCTCTTATCACATAAAAAGTAACATTGTCTTATCTTCAAACATAAATTATAGAATTTCATTTGATATATACGAGTATGTGAATGATAATTAATGTTATGTCACATCATATTTGGGTCTTAAGGAATCTTTTGAGATAGACACATCAAGCTCCAAGGTTACCAAAAGATCTCCATAAATTTTTTGTTATTAGGTCCCCAAGTATCAAAAACATGTCCCGGGTTACTTCAACCAAGAAGTTTTTCATATTCGAGTTATCATTCATAATTAAAATTTTGGAGTATTCATGCATAGAACATTATTCAAACCGTATCTCAGTTAGATGTTTCCTGCTCGAGCTATTGATTGTATGAACGATAACTATCTTATTGATTATGGGACGGATTTAATAATTAAAGTTTATAATCAGTATGAATGCAGGAAGACACTAGCGGACAGTAGGCCAAGAATAAGAGGGCGATTTGCAAGAAATGATGAGATGTCACAACAAGAACAAGTTGATGTTATTGAAGCCGTGGTTGGAGATGTTGATACATGGGCATCTTTTCTTGATTCATTCTCCTCTAATCACTTCCTTAATTAATCTACTCTAATTATATTTATGTTTTTTTTCTTTCTCTCTCACATATATGTTTATATGGCGCACTTTAATTTTTTTGGTTTGAAAGATTCCCCCATGTTGCTAAACTCATGTAGATTTTGTGTTTTCTTTGTAAATAAGAATAACATTTATATTATTCAAATATATTTCTAAATATTGATCATCAATGGTCACAAAATTTTGGACGAGTGACTGGCTGACTGCTTTAGACCCACTTTGTCAATCTTGTTGGCATAACGAGAGGTTCGACCCTAAGATGATTACTCACGATAAAATCGGTTATTGGATAGGTTAAGAAAAGCAAAACGACATTCGCCTATCGGTAGCAAGATCTATATATATTTCCAAATTTATTTTGCAAAAATATTTTAAACCAAAGTTCATACAGTTTAGTTTGTTGTCGTCTCATACCCCTTATAAAAAAATTCATAGGTTAATCTATTATAACTAATATTTGTATTGAAATCTAATAGTTCGCATGTGGTAAAGGTATTTATAACTTTAATTTTTGCCAACTAAAACAAATTCTTCATTTCATATCATCACCACTTGCATGGGCCCGTTACATAGTTTATGGATTGCTATACTTAGTAGCACGATGATAATCAACGTGAGAGTAATGAAATCATCAGAGTAACATGACAATGTTCATTACATGTTTTTCAATGCTAAAAGGTATCATATTTGTACTTTCTGATTATTTTTGTTAATCAAGTTGGCAAAAGAAAATTCGGAGTTCGGACCATTAAGGAACATAATAAACTAAGTATATAGCAATCTCCAAAAGCAATCATACATTATACATTCTTAAGAAACCAAAGAAGCTTCCACTCGTATAAACTAAATCAAAGTAATCAACCAAACATTAATTGTCTTAAATAAGAAAAAGCATTTGTATGTTTTTTTTTCTTTTTTTTTTTTGTTGAAGGATTTAATTTATTAATGAACCACAACTAGGGGTTTTTTAAATGTGGACAAACGAAACCAAACTAACATGAAACCATTGAGCTTTAGCATATGAAAAGTGCTAATACATTTTCATTCTTCGAAAAGCGGAAATTGAATCTTAATCAAGAGAGCATAAAAAACAGCTTACACTTATTTTCTTTGTGAAACAAGATTAAGTTCTGAAAACGAAACCGTAACCAATCTAAATACTACATCGGTTTAACTTAATATAATTTTTACAAAAACAGAAAATCCTTAACGGAAATCAGTAACTCCAATTTAAGGCATCGTTAAGTAATAACGTGAAGAATGATGCCTTCTTGCAATAAATTTAAATAAAGTAATTTTGAAATAGGAAAGAGAGCAGTCTTTCTTCTTTAGCAAAGGGCTATGGAGAGAGCTGTAGGCCCTCCGGCGATCATATCCCCATCTTTTGTCGGCCGGCGGTAGATTTACCGACTCTCCACTCTTCACATTTATATTATCATTACTTTAATCAAAAGCCTATTTCTTGAACACGGTTACACGAAGAAACCAACTTTAAACTCTATAGAATAAATTAGAAAATTTTCTTTCCCCCCACTTTCTGTTCGGTTCAAAAATAACAAGTTTTCAACCACGAGACTTGCGTGGATATAAATAAATTAATGCACAAAATTTTCTAGCGATACAAGAATCATCAAGCTCTTCTATGTTTCCTTCTTTTACTGATTCGTTTGAATCGTGATTGAAGTAGAAAAGGCTTGAAAGGCTGTAGTCGCGCTAATCGAACTCTTCTCCTCTTAGCTCCCTCCTTACCTGCATTATTAACAAATGGATTGAGACATCTTAAGACTGATTCTTTTCTTAGTACAAGACTTGTGTATTAAGTTAGGTTTCCAAATGATGAAATTAAGATATCATACCTGAGTTTGTGGCACTGTCTCTTTCGGGGGACTGGACATGGGCTTGTTGATTAGTTTCGGTTTCGGTCTCGCCTTCCTTCTCGTCTTCCATTGTTATTTCAAGGATGTTGTCGTATGGAACCGATGGCTCTTCCTCGAGCTCTGCCTCATTGGACTCTAACCTTGATACTTGGTCATGGTCTTGTCCCACCGCCTCTGGACTGAGAGATTCATCATCTAATTCTCTTAGCAACTCGTTGGTCTCAGAGGATAAGTTAGGAAGATTAATATTACCGTCACCTGTTACATGCTTCTCGTCTTCCACTGTCACCTCCATGTCCTCGTTCTGATTTGCCTCCGTAGAAGCATCAATTTTCATCTCATCATCATCATTATCATCAATCGATGTAACGTGTCTAGGCTCAGCATCATTACTAGCATGACAAGTAGGAGCTTCTTCTTTGTTGTCCTCGTCCATTGAGGCTTTATCAGCAGCAATACTTTCCATGTTTAAGTTTTCAGCAGGACTTTCTGAAATCCCGAAACAGCTTTCTGATGGTGACAGTGATTTATCTTCTGAATGCGACTCGGTTTGCATGTTAACATCAGAAGCTGCATCCAACTTTGTACATCTCATCAGTGTTAAGGACGCAGCTGCTTGAATTGGCACCAAAATCCCCTGTTCTTGGCTGGTACTGCATTTCCTCAGGGGGACGATTGTTGTACGTTCCACCACCTTACTGTCATCTTCACACATCTGCGTGTCAGTTTGGCTTATGGTTATATCGTCAGATGAAGCTGAATCAGCCATACGTACATCAGAAACTGGACTGTTACTGTGCACTGGTGCGTCAGTCGTCTTAGTCGCAGGTGGCTGAGTCAATGGTTCAGTTCCTACAATATCCTTAACCCGGAAACCATGTGACGGCAAGCTTTCAAGAGCAGAGGTGAAATCAATCGCCTTAGAGCGTTTGCGCGCAGGAGCACGTGTGGCATCAAAGGCCTTTGCGATATCATCCAAAAGCATGTCACCATCACCGCTCGAGATGGGATCCCATTTCGTTCGATCATCAGATAGAGGCTTTTCGAGACTAAAGGTTTCACTAGAAGAAGCTAATTCAACCCTGACAGCTTCTTTGTGAAACCGCTTCTTCTTCAAGACCTTGGCTATCATATTCCTGAAAGCAAATTCAAAAATTTCAATCCTCAATGACATAAATTGCTGCATCAAGATAACAAAATTGCTACAAGGATTGAATACATACATACCTACAGTTATTTGAAATGGCAGCTCTGGCTCTTTCAGTAGAGATTCCAAGCAAGAACATGAGATTTATAACATCGTTTGGACCTCTAAGTTCTGTAACTGAAGGAGCATATTTATGTTCTGTGACTGAAGGAGCCCCACTCGATATAATCAGATTCTTCCCCTTAGTCCAATCCACCAGTAACTAGTAATGCCATATCAAATGAAAGTATAAGCATCTCAATCAGAAAACTCTCACATTTTCAACTAAGTAACACCACACAATATCAGAGTTTTCTTACCTTAGCATTCGATATAACTTGTCTCCTCTTCTCTGTATCCTTTAAGCTTAAGAGATCAGAGTACTTGATCTCAAAGTAAATCCCTCGCTGCCCATAAGAAAATTCATCAAGTTGAAATTTTAGATTGAGATACACACAGATTCTTCTTGTTGAAATCATAGATTGAGAGAATCACAAACCTTAATAGCAGTGTTGACCGTGGCATGTATCAAATGGAATGACATAGTTGAGAAATCAATCGAAATAATATCAACCTACAAACAAGAAAGAGAATCATCTCCCAATCAATTTTCCACATTCCTAACTACAAAATCTTCAATTGATCTATAAACACTGACTAATTCAAACCTCAGCTTTAGTACAGGCGTGTTCGAAGGTTTTCTGATTCAACGGCGTGACTGCAACAACATCGTAGCTCTTTAGAACCTGATTCCCAGAATTCAAACTAAGACGCTGTGCCTCGTTCTCCACAAGGACCGTGACGCGCGTGTACTGCCGAAACGGAGTAGCTCGAGGGACGCCGAGAAGGTCGCGGTGGAATCCGACGGAGGAAGCTAGCCTCGGAGCGGCCTTGACGAGAGATCCAAGGGTGAGAAGAGGGATCGTGCAACGGTCCTTGTCCGTCATTACGCCTCTGATCGAATGGTTGTGTGCGATCCCAACATAGCCCAGCTCCATGGCTTTCATGGCGAGCTTTACGCGCAAGGTGTTATCGACGACGGTTGCTTTCACGCCAGCTGGTGGCAGATAGCTGAACGGAATGTTTAGGTCGAAGAACCCCATGAGAGAGAGTCGAAGAGATACTGCGGAGAGATTTTCCGATTAGGGTTTAAGCAATTTAACTTGTGCTTCGCCGTTAATTTTTGTTCCGATCAATCAAGGAGATGAAAAAGTCAACACAAAATTTACTTAACTTTTAAACGACGACGTATTCAAGATATGCGAAACGACTGCGTAGAGTATTGTTGTGAACCACAAATCATAAACTACTCCTTATTTAAAAAATACTTTGAAAGCGCATATTATCAAAAGCGGCGCACGGAAATCGTTAAACGGAGGAAGTGAAACACTTTGGTTATCACGCGGATCACTCTTTACAACCGTCGATTAAAATACATCGACGGCTCTTACGTAATATTAATGTTGACGGGGATTGATATCAACAGCCCTTGGATTGTTTTTAAATCAGATGGTCCAGAATAAAACCCCTCTTATATATAAACACTCGCGGTCCAATCATTTCCTCATAAACAAACAATCCTTCTTTTCAAAGTTTCGGAAAATCTAATTCTCTCTAAAAAAAATCGAAATCATGTCGGGTCGTGGAAAGGGAGGAAAGGGTTTGGGCAAAGGAGGAGCCAAGCGTCACAGGAAGGTTCTGAGAGACAATATCCAGGGAATCACCAAGCCGGCGATTCGGAGGTTGGCTCGTAGAGGTGGAGTCAAGCGTATCAGTGGTCTGATCTACGAAGAGACTCGTGGTGTCCTCAAGATCTTTTTGGAGAATGTCATTCGTGACGCCGTCACCTACACCGAGCACGCCAGGAGGAAGACGGTGACCGCCATGGACGTCGTTTACGCTCTCAAGAGGCAAGGAAGGACTCTCTACGGATTCGGCGGTTGAGGAGTTGATTAGTTTCTGGCCGTGGAGATCTGTTTTACTTTCGCAATTTCCTCTGCAATCTAGGGTTTGAAGGACACAATTTGGGCATTTTAGTAAAATGTAGTAAAGTTTGATTTCCTCTTTCGTAATTTGGCTTCTTAGCTCTTTTGGTTTGTTCTTTTGCAAATTCTAATCAATGAAATGGTAAATTTCGGAAAATTTCACATAAATACTTGCAAGTTACCTCGCTAATTTTCACGTTTTACTTATCGACTCGTGAATCGTCACATCTCGATCTTCAAAGTCAAAATGCGATGGCTTTTTTTCTTTTGTTTGTTTGAGCGAAATTATAATTTGCATTACGAAGTTCAAAATTTGGGCCCAACAGAATATATGCAAGCCCATAAATAACAATGTACCGGTTAGTTCAAAGTCTACGTGTATAAACTTTTGCAAGCTTACTCATTGCGCGCAAACTGTACTTTCCCTCTTTTTTCATACATCCTCTTTTTCGCCACGAGTGAATAATTTGGTCACGATCGATGGAGACAATAAAGGCAGGTAATTTATTTTAAGTTTATCCTCTGATGAATTAAAATCTCCGATTTCTAGAATTGGATACAGAATTTTTAAAAAGGGGATATGGATGGATTGTCGTATTGCGTAACAAAATTTGAGAAAGCTACAAAACGACATTTAATCGATCATACTCAGAATCTACATAACCATACTGACGTAATTTACTTTGTGAAAAAAAAAATACATCTGACAATGTTTATCGTATAAAAGAAAAGAATCTAACCAGAGGAGTGAAGAGGTTGACACGTGTCTAGATCAGAGCGACACGTCATCCATCGGAGCCAGATGTTAACGACGTCGTTTGAATCTATTATTTGATCTCTTTACACATACGCTAAACGATATCGTCTTCTCTCCTCTCCTGTCTCTATCGAGTTCACAGTGTGGAATAGAGAAAGGAAAAGAAAAAGGCAACTGGTTTTTTGTATTTTGCTTCACGCCTCATTACGGCAATTTTTAAATTCATATAGACCCCATTTCATTGATTGATCTCTCTCGAATAAATTAATATTAACGAAGAAGCAATCATTTTCAATCCGGAAGTCTCGATCTCTCATAGCGGTTGATCGAGGTGGCCGTAGTTTTTTGTGTGGATCAGTGTCTTTTGAAATGGAGAAAGTTTCATCGCCGTCTTCTTCACGGAGGTCTGCTTATCTGGAAGCTCTTACACAGGAGATTAAGAAGAAGCTTACACGGGTTTGCCTCCTCCTCTATTTTTTTCTATCTTCCCAGAGATCGCGGTTTTTCAATTTTGTTGATCTGTTTCGATTTATCTTATTCGAAATCGATGCTGGATCTTCGCATAAGAAACATGCATTAGGGAATCTCACTAGTTTTTGGATTGATGATTGCGATTGAGAAACCGGATTTTTGAAACTGGGTTAGTGTTTCACAATGTGAATCAGCGGTTTGCGATTCGTGATTAAGTTCATGCAATCCGATAATTGATATCCTCGATGTTCACGCAATTCTGTAATCCTGTTTCCAGTATTTCACGCCTTGGTTTCTGGATTTGGTCATCTCATTTTGATATTAGACTGTTGATCTTTTTTTCTCTAGGCTGTTGTATCTCCAGCACAAACACGCAACTTGCTGCAGGACTTATTTGCTGATATAGCCCTCGAAGTCGACGAACGAGCTAAAGGTAACACTTTTTGGTGAATTGTTTCATGAATTTAGTTTGCTTTTAGAGACAATTAGGTGAAAGTTGATATGTAATTTAGCTCTGGAAATAACTATTTGAGCTGGAATTTGAAGCAGATGTGATCCTTAGCAAAGAAGAGGATGTGATTTCGTCTGATGAAGCAGATGCTGATGGTCCGTTATGTTTCTTCGACGTCCTCGCTGATTATTATGTGAACGTGTCTGAGAGAGGCAAGGATATACTTGATTTGATTGTGCAGCTGTGGAGTCAGTCCTTTGCGTCACACATATTCTCTCTGCTGTTCCATAAATGGGTATTGCCATGTAGTTTCACCTTACATTCTCTATACTCTGTTATTTAGTCGACCGAGTCAATAATGTTAACATGTTTCCGAAATTCTTCTCAGCTGTTTGAGGTTCAACTTGACAATAAAGCGATACTCCTGCGGTATTCTTCTGCCCTGGTGCAGGGAGCAACAAATGTATTCTGGTAAAATTTATGAACTTTGGTATAGCAAGATTAACATCTTCATTCATTTTGAATCGCTTGTTTCAGTGTGTTATACCTCACTAGGTTCAGATCATGTACTTTGATATGTAGTAGTTGTATTTGCTCATTGTTGTGATTTTTCATCTGTTAAGAAGTGGTATGGTAGTATTTCCAAGTCTCTTCCTACATTCGATTGGCTTGACAAGCATTGTGAGGGTAACATGTGATAATCTCTACTCCTTTTAATTACAGGATAGATATCCAGACAAATACAAGGCGTTTCCAAACTCTCTTTCGGGTACCTTCTTTTCCTCAGATATATCATAGTCACGCCTTCTTTTGTTTGATAATTTACCTTAACAGGGAACTTTAAATTTTTTAATCAAACGACTATGGTACATTAAGTAAGACACTGTGGTCAACAAAATTATAATGCTGGTCTTCGAGCTAGAACATGTAAATCACGCATGCTAGATATCATTCGCATCCTCTTTCAGTGGCGTTACCTTGTTTGATGCCTCTGACAGATCTTCTAGGCAAAATATATTGCTTTGTACTTGTCGATCGGGCTGACACTATCACCAGGTTGCCATGCCATTAACTAACAGTCTCTATCTTCTCTCAGTATCTTCTTGAGGAAGTTGCTTTGGAGCCAATCAGATTGAAAAAAATTCCCATTCAGGTGAGTGTTTCCTTTCCATTTTTGTGACAGTTCAAGTGATTCAGTCTGGTGTTTGACTCTACATACCTTATTTCAGGCTCAGAGGGAACTGTATCTCTTGCTCTCGAGGTTCATTTTCTTTTACAATTCAGGTAGTACACTGTTTTCTGAAAAAGTTACATTTGGAACCAGATTTTCTTCTTGTTCCCTGACATTTTTTTTTTCCAGTGGATAAACTTGATAGCTTCTTGAGGAACTTCCCGGAGTTTCCAAATGCTTTTTTGGTTGGAGGACCCGGAGATTTCCTTGTTATCGAACTTACTGATCAGGTATAGAAGCAAAGGCTTTGTGACTGTATACAAAATTTTCTCTTAAGTTTGAACCACAGACGTCACTCATCTACTACATTATTGTGGTGCAGCTGCAAAAGCTGAAGGTGGAACCAGTGCTGCTACACTATCTTTCTCAAATGAAGATTCTTCAAGGTATGTTTCTCTCTTCTAGTTAGATGCTGCCTCTAACATGGAGTCAAAATTGAAAGCAATATTGGATTACATCTGCAGGTATGGAACTGAGAATGACAACTAGCACGAGGTTAAAGGCGTGTTTGTACAGTTTTACCTCTCCTGGAGGTCCAATGTACCCAACCAGAGCTGTCCGTCATGCAGCCTGGGATGCTTTGGATTCCTTATTTCCGGTGAGTCGATATCTTCAACACTCGCACATAGATCACAAGTGTTGGATAGGCTTTGGCTTTGTAACAATTCTGATACTCTGTCTTTGCAGGTTGGGCGTTATCCGAGGCATCTCATAAGTCTATTTTTCAGGCTGCTATATCCGTGGTACTGGCCATCCTCGTGTTGGAACTTTGTGGTTTCTTGCATCAAGGCGGTTCTCTACTCTATCGTAACGCTCATCTTTTCACGGCGAGAAAAGCCAAGGCAGAGCTGAAACAGCTTACTTTTGCAGAAAAGCTTGCAGCAGGAATCCTTGTGTATATAAAATGTGGTTTTGGTCATAGGAGCAAACCAGAGAACTTTTATCTCATCTGTATCGCTTTCTATAGAGAACATATATACAATCAGTTTTTTTCGGAAATCTCATGGAGTGGGCTCTTGAGTTGTTTTGTTGTCATTGTTAACTGTTATTTTGTTATAGAGGATGATGTATTGTGACCAAAACCCCTTTTAGGTGGAAGAAAATACATTTGCTTCTTCTGTTTCTAGCTGGTATTAAATTTCTGTAAGAATCCAATGGAGAAAGAGATGCTTAAGAGACTCATATCATACAAATCATAACACTATGCAGCAAATTTGTTCCTATGGTGTGATGCAAACGAACTCTATTAAACGTCTGCGTTCATAATACCAAAGGCATGACTTGAGGATATGAGAACATGCGACCAAATAGTAGAATCAGAAATCTTGTAATCAAAACCCTTTTCACTGCATATACTCTGAAGGATGAAACTGATTCTCTTTTACTCGACGGTATAAAGATAGACAACAATAAGTCTAATAAAACACAGATTCGCAGATCTAAAAGAGTGGCTCTAAATAATGAAACAAATCAACAACACACGGCCATAAAGGCTAAGTAGCAAAGCCTCTGGCATACATTTCTAGCTTCTCTTCCTCCTTCCTAAACCCCCTTGCGGTTTGAGAAGAGAAGTCGCATTCCTCAGTTTGTCTCCATATCTCCTGAGTGGTACTTATCAAGATCTGCATCAAGATCTTCAGCAGATAACTTCTCCGCAGGACCCTTACCAGGACGCCTGCCACCACGACCACCACCGCCGCGTCCACCTCCACCTCCACGACGACCACCACCACGTTGTTGACCACCTCTCCCTTGTCCTCCTCTGTTAACCCAGCAAGACACACACTTTCAATAAACCTCACAAGATACAAGTAAGCTTTTACATATAACACATACTGAGCAGTGTGTAATCTTACCGCCTTGCAGCACCATTGGAGTTTCCATTTCCGGGAGCTGCAGCGGTCTGAGGATTGGTGCCCACAATTTCTATCTTCATCGGTTTTCCATCTAGCTGAACTTCGTTGTACTTCTTCACTGCTGCGAGTGCATCACCACGCCGAGAGAACACAACTTCAGCAGTTCCCTAATGGAATACAAGTTTCAGTCTTCACGACTCAAACAGAGGACAGTCAAAAGAATCTGCAAAGGAGAAGTAATCTCAAGCTACCTTTGATCTTCCACTCCTGTCGAAATGGACTGTGTAGCGTTTAAGCTCCCCTACTTCAGCAAACAGCTCCTGCATACAACAAAACCGATTCATATCATTTGAAATATGTTGCAAATTGCACATAGAGCAGAAAGTAACAGTAGCTGAAGAACAATGTTTTATCCAGGAATCGGTACATAGAGCAAAAGAGTACAAATTTTGGTTTCGATTCCAGAAACGCTAAACATGTGTTTGCTAATGAGAGGCAGAGAATCGAAAGGAGTTGAGATAAGAGCAATTAGTCACCTTGATGTCATCGTTCATGACCCCGTAATCCAAATTAGATAAGTAGAGCTTCGTTCCAGTCTCGATTCCGGCAGAGGAACGGCCGGATCGGGGAAGACCTTCTGACCTGTCGGAGTACATGTCGTGTTCCCAGGTGGACTCCGGCGCCTATACAACCAAATGAATCCGTTTGTTTTTGTTTTCCTCTTTTGAGAGATTTCATCAACACCAAAATCGATTGCTTTATAAAGAAAACGTCAACGCAGAGTCTATGAATCGGCAGATCTGAGAAGAAAGATCCGGCGAAACTAGAGAAGAAGAAGAAGAAGAGGAAGGGAGAACAGATGTAGATCGGATTTGGACCTTGGACGATTGGTATGGAGCGGATCGGTTCGTCTTCCGATTGGGGTTGTTGCGGCGAGTAGGACCCGGCCCGGATCCGGATCCACGGGTAGGACCAGCTCCACGAGACTTACGGTTCTTGGCGATCATGTCGTCGAGAGACATATCTAATCCAGTCGACATCTCGAAGTTCTCCGATAGACGTTTCCTCTTTGGACGGCGGAGGAGAAAGAAATAAGAGAGAGAAGAAGAAAACCTTCAGCGAGAAAGTCGAAAGATTAGCCGACAAGAGAAAGGGTAAAGTAAATCTTATAACTAATTTCTTAATCATAAAAAGGAGAAAAAGTGCACCAAGGTTTCGTGGTGTAGTTGGTTATCACGTCAGTCTAACACACTGAAGGTCTCCGGTTCGAACCCGGGCGAAGCCAAATGCCAAACTTTTTGTTTTTTTTTTGTCTTCATTCTCCATATTTAAATCAACTTGCATCGAGACTTCGAGAGAGTGGTCCTTGAAAATATAGAGTTCATCTCGTCAAATCAGATTGACTAATGGGTTTCTCAGATTCAGTGCAACAACTTGCTTTGTAGATGTGCCACATTAGTTTAAACAACAACAGACCAACCTTAAGAATGAGCAAAAAAGTTGACAGTATGTTTGTGAAAGTGAAATTTTATTGCTAATGTTTGGTGAAACAAATGGGTTTGAATTCTATTCATCTTTTTATAAATGGTTCAAATTACCAACATAAAACATAATACATACCATATACTAGGTGATTCTCGTTATCTTATGGTTGAATATATGATAAAAAAATGTTTAGTTTGAGGTTCTTAGATGTTTTTAAAAAAATTATGTTTGATAAGCAAAAAGACGCACAAAGCTCAATATATATATCAGCTTATTCTCTACCAAGTCAAGAACCTAATTATAAATAGTTTGCAAAAGAGAAAATATTTGTAAGCCGGAAGCAGATACGTGGAAGTGGAAGCGTTTGGAAGCGCCGAAGCTAGTTTTAAAAAAAAAGTAGGAAGCGGGTACGCGTTAGAAGCGTTTATATATATTGCTTAATATATATATATATAAATTAAATTATTGTTATTATTCGAAATAACTAAAGTTTAAATATTAATATATGTATATGCAAACATCACCAAACGAGCATACGTGTGATACGTGCACAAATCATAAATGCCTCTGATTTTTATTTATTTTTTTGTGTATCTCTCTTGTTTTCTTTAATATTACAAATAAGTTTAATAATTTTTTTAAGAAAATAGAATAAAGATTAAAGAGTCACGGGATACAACCCTAATGGCTCCGTCTTCTTCATTGATCTGCTTTCACTTTTCAACCCGCCGCCATACATATTACATACCTTTCTTTCCAATAAAATAATTCGATTCAAGTGTTTGCTCAGATTTAACCACCAAATACACGACTTCGAGTCAAACTGAACTCTAATTTCACATCTTTTAATGGAGCAAATTTAGAATTGAACCACAACATACACAAATTCAGTCCAAGTGTTTTGGCCTGGACGCTTCTGATTCATTTACTTTTAGCGCTTCCAAATCGGAACCATCGCTTCTTGTGCGCTTCCATATCCCTTTTTTCAGGAACCGCGATTCCACAGCGATTCCGCTTCCGCTTCCGCTTCTGGAGCGGGAATCGGAGCTTGGGTCACGCTTCCATGCTTCGTACAAAACTCTAAGACCAATCATAGGATACATGAGAAAGAAAGTGGCACACTAACCAAAGTATTATTGAAAAGCTCACAAAATTTGTAGGTATATGATCAAAAACATGATTTGGAGAAGCGACTACTGATGGAGTAAAGCGCTTGGTACTGAATATTACGAGCTTCTCAAATACTAGGAAAAACGGGATCTAATATGGAGTTTGTACTTTTGCTAATCATGTCTAAGCAATGGAGAAATTATTTATGGGCAAGAATCTCATCATATAACTACTGTATATTGTAGGAAACCTTCACTTTGAATATCATTAATGGGTTCCTGGCCTCCACCGATGAAGAAAGGCTACACAGAAGCAGCAAGTTAATGAGCCAAATGCAAAATTCCTTCATCAAATGAATGCGATTTTAATTAGACCTAAATGTTAAAAATTAAGTCAAGTACAATACTTGCAAATATTTTAGCAAAAAACAAAAAGATACTTGGAAAGTTTCGAAACCGAGACTCTGCTATGGATTAATGCTGCAAATGACATGAAGACGTTGGCCTCGGCCTATGTTGAGCAAATAAAAGGGAAAACCAGCCGGAATCCAGTGATATCACTATATCAGTATCACCTCCTTTTAATCTCTTCTCTCCAAATTCTTCTTTGCATTATTTGCATATCACTCTAAAAGTTGCTTCACCTGCAAGTAATCATATTAGTATTTGCAAATCAATTTTCGTGAATAGATACACCACGTTAACTCTCAGCCTCGGAATTACATTACTACCCTTAATGAAAATCTTAAATAAATCTTTCAATTTGCTTATTATCTTATTTAAAAACGAAATTATATATTTGCTTTCTTCCTAAATTATTTTTGGATATATATCGTATAACTAACATATTTTTGCGCTACATATATGGAATTAAAAGTAAAAAATTAAAAATTGGAAAAAGAATTAAAAATTGGAAAACCTAGGTTTGTTAGCCAACTCTTTCTTATATATAGTTATAGCTACAAGCAAGATCAACCCAAATCAACGTAATCTTAGTTCTTAGGTCTCCTATTTCTCAACCGATAATCAACGTCTACGTCTTCTTAGCTAATTAGGGTTTAGTGTATCTTTATTGTTTTACTTTTTCAAAATTATGATTACCTGATTATATGTTATCTACTATCAATCATCTATATATACGCTTCTAACTTCTTCTTCCCTCACTTTTGTAACAGTGAGTTCCAAGTTAATGGAATCTAGAAGATCAGATTTGGTCCCAAACAAGACATATTCAACTCCAGCAAAGGAAGGTATGAACATCTATCCTTTTAATTACCATCTTAATATTCATGAAACCCTAATTCTAATGGCCAATCTATAACGATATATATATTTTTTTATATCCATAGTTGATGCCAACAACAATCATTACAAAGATAGCTACAAGCAAAATCAACCCAATTCTCATTACGATTTGCATATCTTCTTTCTATACGTAATCTTACTTCTTAGGTCTCATATTTCTTTTACTCATGTATCTTTATTGTTTTACTTTGATTTAAGTTCTATTTACTGTGATTAACTGATTATTTGTTATCTACTGTCACTCATCTACATATACGCTTCTAACTTCTTCTTCTCTCGCTTTTGTAACAGTGAGTTCCAAGCTAATGGAATCTAGAAGATCAGATTTGGTCCCAAACAAGAAATATTCAACTCCAACAAAAGAAGGTATGAACATCTATCCTTTTAATTACCATCTTAATATTCATGAAACCCTAATTCTAATGGCGAATTTATAACGATTTTTTTTTTAATATCCATAATATTTGCTTAATCATTAATATTATATCTTAAGTACTTACCTTAAAGAAAGGAAAGAAGAAATAATGGAATGTGAAGAAAAATCTAAAAAAAATGAAGAATATTACGTAGAAGAACAAGAAAGAGAAGATAAAAATAAGACACCTCAAGATTACAAAAATAAGAAGTTTGCGAAAACAAAAAGATGAATACAATAAAAAGTTGTACTACTTATATTATTTAAATATTTAATTAATAATTGTATTTAAAAAATATTGTACCCGCACAAGGTGCGGGACAACCACCTTGTAAACACATATATGTGTGAGAGAATTAGCTAATTAAAAAGATAAAAGCAAGAGAAAGAGAAAGGGACCTTGACGATTGACGAATGAAGATGAAGCGGCTTGAGTAGAGATACTGAGGGACAAAAATGCATCATTCCTTATAATGTTTTTAGTTAACATCTACAAACGTAAGATCAACTAAAATTATAAATTACTTCTTTTACAAATTAGTAAAACTCCTGTGTCAAACCAAAAAGAAAATCTCACCTTCGTAACTTGCCCTTGAAGATTGGGTGGCAAATGTCTTCGAGAGTAATCATGACTGGATAAGACACATGAGACATTCGATGGCGTCGAGACATTTCTGCAAATCTTCATGCGATGTAAGTGTCCTGATTAGATCGAAAACATTAACCTATTTTATTAAAAAACAGAAAACCAAAAACAAATCAATGAGAATCTTTTCTTGATTTACCTAATCAAACCATCAAACAAAACTCAGATCAGCTGTTTTAATTTGTATGTATGATCCTTCTTCTTCCTCTGTTTCGAAAACAGATTAAAACGTACTGTATTCATCTCCTTTTTTCGATAGCTTGTCATCCATATATAGATCTATGTGTAGCCTAAGACCTTAAACAGAAGAAAGTAAAATCTTTGCCAAGCGAAGAAGAGAAAAATCTTATCTCCATTGTATTTCTCAAAAACACATCACAAACTGTATTTATCAAACCCCATCAGCCAGCGCCACCGTAGTTCATAAGTTTATTATACTACGGTTTATCGATAACACCAAATTATTACTTGCTGTCAGAATTAAAAAAAAAAATGTATTATTTTGGCCACTTATTGGGTTATGAGTTTGAGTTGGCCACTTATTGGCCAATTATTACTCTCTCTTTTTTTAATCATCAGTCACTTATGAGTTTGCATTGCGTTAAGACTCAAAGTTGATGGTGATGATATGTATGTTTTCGGTTATTGTTTGAGTATGAATTCTCAGGTTGGTTGAGTTCAGGAGATTGACCAAAGATTCCTTAAATTCAGAGCTGGATTACTAATGGTTCAAGCCGGTTAAAAAGTTTGATCGAGAGGATAAGATTGAGGGAGAGATCATAAGTTGCTCTGGAAAACGTTTTCATTTTTGCACCGAGTGATTCTCTTTTGGCTCAGTTTCTAGAAAGAGAGAGTGTGCCAAAAAGACATTATAAAACACTGTAACATCGAGATATGTAGTGGACAGACATCGTAACCGACAACAAAGGTTTCGTTTCTCAGTCATGTTTTCTATCAACTTGACATGGATTAAGTAACATGTCACGTATACTTAATGAGCACTAATTTATTTATTTCGTTGCCACTCTAGAGCCTTTCTAATTGCGATTGAATATATGGTTTCATGCTCATACACGGTTTCAACCTCTTGCTCCCACTCTGTATTTTTCCAGTAAACACGAATAAAGCTATGCCTAACATAACGTCAATTTTTTACACATGGACATGGGCTTGGATCCTCAAAGACGTTTTTGACCTCTAGAGTTAGATGTTCAAATTGTCAACAAAAAAAAAAAATACATGTTTCGCAAGAATTCTGAATTAAGTAAAGAGAACTTCACATAGATACTCCTTCCCAGTCTTGTTCCAAATTACGCCATTCTACAAATTGTAACATCCAAAAACATATGTCGTTGCAGATAGTGGTACTTAGCTACCTACAATGAAGACGAAGAAATTTTTAAGACATTCTCTAGACTTACTGCAAACTCCAAATAGTTTATAAATTCTTCCCAAAAAAGCTTCCTTTTTACTGCTTCCTGAGATCTTACGGGCTCCTTAAACCCTACCGTTCTTTGAACACAAATTCCAACTCCCACAAACACATTTCGAATTTTCGACTCATTCGTCTGGGCATCGAGCTTTGTGGTGAGCAAGGCTCCCACAAGTTTGACAAAACATCTTCAACTTCTCATACACAAACCTAACCTCCACATCTTCATCGCTTCTTTCAAACAAAACACGCCTCTCAAATTCCAGGCCCTCGTTTACATCGACTCGAATCCTCGCTCTCACACCAGGTCCTTGCTCGTGGATCTCCAACACCTCACCTACAACAGAACCAATCCTCTTGATCACCGCGTCGTTTCTGTAATTCCAAGGGATTCCGACTATCTCAACCCAGAAATTCATGAACCGCAGGTAATCAGGCTCGTCCCGTCGGTCGAACCTGTCGACCACAAGCATCCAGTCGTTGAACGACCACGGCTCCTGATCAAGCACCCAGAGAAGATCCGATTCCGATTCGAATTGGAACAGTGCCTTGGAGTCATCGACTACGACCCTGCATTCCACCGATCCGGTTAATCGCCAAGCCTTGAGGAGCGCGGAAGTCATCGGAACCATTTTCTGGACTTTGGGATTAAGCAGCATCACCATGAGGCATCGCCGGTTTTGCTCCTCTATCTCCTGCAGAAGCTCCGGCGGAAACACGATTACGTGAACGTCATCATCATCTTCTGGATCGTGAACGTCATCATCATCTTCTGGATCCACCTCGTCATGTTCGGGATCCACTGCGAGGTTATCCATGAAGGGAGATCCGGTGATGACTGAACGAGATCGGAACAAAGGAAGACGGCAAGCGAGATTTTCAGTAGAAAGCTCCAGGCGGAGGATCCATCCGATTATAGGGTACACGCGCTTTACCACGATTCAGTGATTCACCGTTGCGCGTGGGATTTTAATCCATGAATAGTAAATAAAAGTTTTCATATATGGGCCGATTATTTTACATATCTAGGCTTAAAGTTATAAACGGGTTTATGTTTATTGGGCCTAATTAGTGTGACCCACAGAAAACAAAATCAAAACCTATGAGACGAGTAAAAAAAATAATGGCAACAAAAAGGTCGAGAACAGACGAGGAAGTAAAAAACACAGCGGCTAAGGAAGAGTTAGCGCCAAAAGTGTTTAGTGAGTTGATAATAAGTACAGTGGAATGTTTAATGAACAGAGATTCAAAGAAACTGAAATTTTGAAAAATGGAAAAGAGAGAGCTTTCTAGTTATAGTTTGAAGTTTCAAATCTATGATTCAGATGACTAAATCATAACGTTATGGTGTTTCATAACACGGGTCCCTTCATAACACATTCTATTTATAACTTTAAAAAAACTAATTAGCACATACTCCTTCTACCATAAAACGGATCAATGATAAGAATAGAGAATCAAATAGAGAGAGAGAGAGAGAGAGTCAACGTCTCCAGTTCATCCTTGTACATGTAGAGAAGAAAAGATTGGGAATTGCATTGACTTCACATTATCAGGGATCAAACACTAGTTATAAGTTGCATCTAAACCCACAATAGGCACAAATCATAATCAAAACCAAGTTGAATTATGGATGAAACTTGAAAGAATGTAACATCATATTATCACCTTAAAAGGTACCAAATCTCCTAATCAAGTAAACAGAACAAAATCAGCAGTAGACTTGAATAGAATGAGCGAAACTCAAGCACCAAAAATCACTATTATAAACGACACAACAAAAATTTCATACTCTTTCAGCAAATATCAACAAAAATTTGTCTACGTTAAGCCAATTGCTATTATATCACAACAATGTTCAACAAAGATGGCATTCCATGAACAAAACGAAGGCAATCGTAGCATATGAATTCGAACAATACTATCCCATTTCAAGAGTTATATGATTAGGATTATTAACTGGTTTGATACAGATACTAGAAGATCAATAAACCATTTAATTAAAGGGATTGGATTAGGAATATGTGAAGCACAATTTATGAACGCAGACTTAAGTTTCAATCTTAAAATTCGATAGGATTTTGGGACGCAAAAGAGCAGAAATAGATTCCAAACTTGACAGTACATACAAATGGTAAAATAGCAAAACGAACGGACACTGGAAACGGGAAGGAGCAATCTATAACCCTAATTCAACCATTCCAAATTCGATTAACCCTAACAAGCACGGCGGTAGAGAGAAATCATAACTCATAAGTTTAGGAGCTGGTGAATTTGGTGACGGCCTTTGTCCCCTCCGAAACGGCGTGCTTCGCCAACTCTCCTGGAAGCACGAGTCTCACGGCGGTCTGGATCTCCCGGGAAGTGATGGTCGGCTTCTTGTTGTACCTCGCTAGCTTCGACGCCTCTCCGGCGAGCTTCTCGAAGATATCGTTGATGAAACTGTTCATGATTCCCATCGCCTTGCTGGAGATTCCGATATCGGGATGGACCTGCTTCAGCACCTTGAAGATGTAGATCTTGTAAGTCTCGACGCTCTTCTTCTTCATCTTCTTCTTCTTGTCGCCGCCTGCACCAGCCTCCTTCGGGAGCTTCTTCCCGGCCTTTGGTTTCTTCTCCGCCGGGGCTTTCTCGGCTTTCGATTTCTCCTCCACCGGCTTCTCTGCGGCGGGTTTCTTCTCGGCGGGCTTCTTCTCTCCTTTAGGCGCCATGGATACTTTCTCTCGAGTTTTCTAGAGTAAACAAAGCACAAATCTGAGATCTAGTAGAATGAAATGGTTTTGTATTGCTTGATATTTTTTTCAGAGAAATGAGAGAGATTGGTTTTATATACGTCTAATGAACTGATATGAGTGGGTGAAATAGTTTGACGCGGATCGATGTCTACACCGTTGGATCTGCTTTCCATAGAAAGATATCGACGGTTAAAGAGGAATCTAATAAAGAAGGAAAGCTCTCACTGTCTCACACGTGACAGCTCTTATTGGATACACTTTGTGGCGGGGACTGCTGACGTGTCGGGAGTTTGGCGCGTTTTAAGCTCCTCGTGAAAATTTCCCTTTCCCGCTCCCGCCCATTCGCAATAATTTTTACATGGGCCTCTGTATACAAACGGGCCCATTTTGATGGTGAGACGAAACTTTCTCAACCCAGAAACTTGGATCCGATCCGACCCGGCCGGTTCCCAGATATCGGTTTGTTGTTCACAACACATTTGACAAATGCTGTTTTTTTCCGGTGAACCTCTTTGATGAAGCTCCCTCGCACGATTCGGTCACTATCAAGCTCACATTTTCGCCATAGCTGTAGAAATGTGAGCTCTGTGATCGTTTCAGCTCAAAAAGACATTGGAGCCAGTGAAGATTTGCAATTCGTCGACGCCATCAAAAGAATCGTGCAGGGGAAACGGAGCTGGGAGATCGCATTGAGCAGGGAGCTCGTCTCGAGGAGTTTGAAGCCTGGTCATGTTGAAGAGATTCTGATCGGAACCCTAGATGATCCCAAATTGGGTCTGAGGTTTTTCAATTTCCTCGGTTTGCACAGAGGATTCGACCACTCAACGGCGTCCTTCTGCATCTTGATCCATGCGTTGGCCAAGGCCAATCTCTTCTGGCCTGCTTCATCTCTCTTGCAGACGCTTCTGCTTCGTCCCCTGAAGCCAATTGAGGTTTTTGATGCGCTTTTTAGCTGTTACGAAAAATGTAGGCTTAGTTCAAGCTCGAGTTTTGATTTATTGATTCAGCATTATGTACGAAGTAGGAGAGCTTTAGATGGCGTTTTGGTGTTTAGGATGATGACGAAAATTGGTTTACTTCCTGAAGTGAGAACTTTGAGTGCTCTGTTACATGGGTTAGCTAATTTTAGGCATTTTGGTTTGGCGTTGGAGTTGTTTGACGATATGATCAGTGTTGGCGTTCGTCCTGATGTGTACATTTGCACTGGAGTGATACATAGCTTGTGTGAGCTGAAAGATCTCTCTCGAGCTAAAGAAATGATTGTACGTATGGAGGCAAGTGGGTGTGATGTGAATATAGTTCCGTATAACGTGTTGATAAATGGGCTATGTAAGAGGCAGAAAGTCTGGGAGGCTCTTGAGGTAAAGAAGAATTTAGCTGCAAAAGAGCTGAAACCAGATGCTGTGACATACTGTACATTAATTTGCGGGTTATGTAAAGTGCAAGAGTTTGAGGTCGGATTAGAGATGATGGATGAGATGTTATGTTTGAGATTCAGTCCTAGTGAAGCTGCAGTTTCAAGCTTGGTGAAGGGATTAAGGAAGAAGGGAAAGATTGAAGAAGCGCTTAGCTTGGTTAAAAGAGTAGCAGAAACTGGTGTGTCGCCTAGTCTTTTCGAGTATAATGCATTGCTTGACTCGTTATGCAAAAGTAGAAAGTTTGATGAAGCTGAGTTGCTATTTGATGGGATGGGGAAAATCTGGCTGTGTCCGAATGAGGTGACCTATTCGATTATGATAGATATGTTTTGCAGAAGAGGGAAACTGGACACTGCACTTAGTTTAATGGGGAAAATGATTGATGCAGGCTTGAAACCGACTGTTTATCCATACAATTCTTTGATCAACGGGCACTGCAAGTTTGGTGACATTAGTGCAGCGGAGAGTTTCATGGCGGAGATGATTAGTAAAAAGCTGGAGCCGACAGTGGTAACATACACATCACTGATGGGTGGATATTGCAGCAAACGGGAAATGGACAAGGCTCTTAGGCTCTATCACGAGATGACAGGGAAAGGTATTCTACCGAGTATCTACACATTCACCACGCTTATCTCCGGTCTTTTTCGTGGTGGGATGATTGCTGATGCAGTAAAACTATTCGACGAGATGGCGAAATGGAATATTAAGCCAAACAGAGTGACTTACAATGTCATGATTGAAGGTTATTGCAAGGAAGGAGACATGGCTAAAGCCTTGTTGTTGCAGAATGAGATGGTAAAGAAAGGTATTGCACCGGATACATACACCTATAGATCGTTGATACACGGACTATGTTTCAGTGGTCGAGCATCGGAAGCCAAAGAGTTTGTGGATGGCCTTCACAAGGATAACCATGAGCTGAATGAGATATGTTATACCGCACTCTTACACGGGTTTTGCAGAGAAGGGAGATTGGAGGAAGCGTTAAGCGTTTGTCAGGAGATGGTACAAAGAGGGGTGGATTTGGACCTTGTGTGCTATGGCGTTCTTGTGGATGGAAGTTTAAAGCACAAAGATCGAAAGATGTTTCTTGGAGTTTTAAAGGAGATGCATGAGAGAGGACTCAAGCCTGATGATGTGATGTACACAAGTATGATTGACGCAAAGAGCAAAACCGGAGATTTCGAGGAAGCATTTGGGATATGGGATTTGATGATAGCCGAAGGGTGTGTGCCTAATGAAGTCACTTACACTGCTGTTATCAACGGACTATGCAAAGCCGGGTTTGTGAATGAAGCTGAGGTCTTATGCTCGAAAATGCTCTCTGGCAATTCGGTTCCTAACCAAGTAACATACGGTTGCTTTCTCGACGTTCTCACCAAAGGAGAAGGAGACATGCAGAGAGCTGTGGAGCTCCATGACGCGATACTGAAAGGGCTTTTAGCTAACACAGCTACGTACAATATGTTGATCCGCGGATTCTGTAGACAAGGGAGAGTGAATGAAGCTTCTGAGCTTGTAACGAGGATGACAGGGAATGGTGTTTCTCCGGATTGTATAACGTACACGACGATGATCTATGAGCTTTGCAGGAAGAAGGATGTGAAGAAAGCGATTGAGTTATGGAACTCGATGACTGCAAAAGGCGTAAGGCCTGATAGAGTTGCGTATAACACCTTGATACATGGGTGCTGTGTGTCCGGAGAAATGGAGAAGGCGGTTGAGTTGAGGAGTGAGATGTTGAGACAAGGCTTGAAGCCTCACTCCATAGTTTAAGAGATCCTAACCATTTTTGAAACACTTCTTACACATCTCAATCAGTTAAAAGTAGGAAATGATTTTGTTAGTGTAGATTATATAACACTTTTTTGCATTTTCGATTCAACCTGTAACGAAGAGAACAAAGGAAGCTTCATCTTATACAAATCTCAAGCATTGGTATGGCCGTATGGGAAGATGATGGATGCAAATCACAGCACAAACCTTTGGATAATTTTCAATATAAATGAAAAACACTGTTTAGTAACAAAGACACACAGAAGACAGGACCAGAAGGATAGAATGAAGAAACTGTAAGAGAGAAGAAAACACCATTTTTTTGTAAATAGTAAAATATGAGCCAAAGAAGCTTATTCAAAGAGATAAGAGTTTGTTTCAGTTGACGCGGCTTTTCAAAACATCAAGATCCATCTCAGTTGGATCAGTCGCCTGAAGCTCTACTTGAATTCCATCGAGCTCACGCTTGAACCTGTCCTTGGAGCTCGCGTAGATCATCTTGCTTCTCACCTTCGCTACGTCCGGACACCTTTTCCATCAAAAACAAACAGACCACCACCATTGATCAATCATCATCATCAAAAGGTAAGAATAGAGAAATGCAGACAGTAAGAATGCTATTGTTTTACCATGCAATGAAGAAGATCTTGCTCTTCTGGCAATTCTCCGCAGTGACAAAGTCGAAATCGTAAATGGCGTAGCGGCATTCTTCAGCTGGAAGACTCGCTGCGAAGTCCTCATAGGTTTGAATAGGTTCGCCAACTTTCTCAACGATCACTTGCTTCTGCTTCTCCTCAATCTTGTAGACAATGAAACGGTGAGTCCTCTTCGCCTTCAGCTCCAGAAACCTGAGCTTGCAGTCATCATGGACTGCCATTCCCGACGCTGCATTAGCCTGTTTACCCAATACAACAACAAAACCATTTAGATTCACATCTCTTCCACACATTTCCCCAGATCTCACAAAGCCAGACATTGTAATTGTATCCACACATTTGCTATCTCTGATCTTATGAGCCTAAGAAATTTCCGGAAACGTCTAGAAACTGGTTATTTAGTCGTTTACAGAAACGATCTAGACTTGAATTGCAACAAGAGTCATCATGAGAAATGAGAAAGAACAAAAAAAAAAATCGATTTCAACACAAAATCAAACAAACGAATATTATTGTAGAAACGTTTCAATGGTCCGCACAAGTGATCATCAGCTCAAATGAAACTTCAAGGGATACACACACACACGAAACTATCCGATTCTTCATGATTTCGATTCTAACTAGCGAAGCAAAACAGTGTTGTGAACAGTTTTCCTAGCTTAGATCAGTACCGTCGATCACGTAAACACGAAATCTCAAAGATCTAATCGGAGAAAACAAATCCATCATCCAGATCTACTGAGCCGAAATCGTAATCAAATCCGAGACGGAAAAAAAATCGATAAGCGAGCTTAAAATTGACGAACTGGAAGCAAACAATAGAGGAAAAGTAAAAAGAAAGAGTTTGGAGTATCACCATGGCTGAATCAAAACGCTGTCAAAGAAATTTCCTGCTGAAAGGAGACGCAGAGAAGAAGATGTTTTTCTTCGAATATGACTCTTTTTCTCTTTTCCTTTCTTCGGCGTTATTTGGAAGCTATATATAATCTCCGTATATATAGAGCAACTCATTTCATTTACCATACATATTCTTCCATTTATGATCTATAACTATATGGTAAGCTTATTATTGTTTTAATTTTAGTCAAAGTATAAGCAACGTAAATAGACAGACATTATCATATTCTTGATTTACTGTGTTCTAACTTGTTTTAAATTTTTTCTTAACCAATTTGTTACAAGCTATCTGGTTTTGGTTTAACTTCGTATACATCTCCCTAACTATAAGTCTAATCACTATATAGCGTCATACTCATACATGACTCTTTTTTTTGTTTTCGCGTCATGCATAACTTAATTCAGATAAATCACCGTTTAACATGTAAAAACTTAGTTTAGGCGAATTGTATAGCCAAAACACTTGGTTCTTTGTACCTATCCTAGAAAATAAAAAGCTACAAGAATCCGACCAATTTGATGGATAACGACACCATATTGAGCATGTGTTGATTGAAAGCATGGTTACGTGGCCACGTTACTCGATACAAAGAACTGTCGTAGAGGAGTGGTCACATAACCTCGTGCGGTACTCTAGCTCGTTTTGGCCAACAATTGTGTAGTACTTGATTAAGATAAGGTAAATGCTAACATTCGTACGTGCAAAATCATTTCATTTTGTGCATTTCGGATTCGCTTGTCTACCATATAGTAGTACATCAAGATAACAAATGTAGGCGGTAATACTCGGATACGCCCGACAAACCCGTTCGTCTAGGCTCTCGACCATGCATACAATAATATGGATCTTGTGTTTTGTATAAAACTTACATCCTCTTCACTTGGAGAAGATTCAATTTTCACGCATGTTTTTTTTCTTTCTCGTTTCGCACACTCAATCGATTAGACTACATCACGAACACCTAACTTGACATCTTTTCTTCTTCTTCTTTTTCTGGTTTTCCGTTTATTTATGGGTTTTTTCAATCAAGTTGTGATATTTCGCCCACCAATTTGTGTGTCCAATAATCCTAGGAAAAGGCTCATCTTATATTGTTATTTTATATGTTCTGACAGTTTATAACTTACGCAATTTAATAATTTCTGTCGAAGTCTACATGATTTGACTGTTGAAACCTTGCGTAAAAGAGGATCGCTCATGTTTGGATCTCTTTCCAAACTATCAAAACTATCGATTAGGATAAACGTTGGGGTCAAATTTTCAAATCTTGCTGGATCAGAGTCGACTGAGCAAGTCTATTTGTTCTTCGGACTATCCTTCAAACCCGAAATTGTTGTATTGAGGATGATTTACAATAGGTTTTACATGAAAAATGAGATATATTACTTAGATTTGGCAGGAGTCATGCGCAAAATGAAAATGTATAGAATCTAGAGAGCGTAAGAACATACAAACTACAAAGAATCTCGTGGATCTGGCTCTTAATATTAAAATCAGAAAAAAACTTGCACAACCGTATTATGTACCTTTCAATCATATAATATGTCAACACATAAATCACTAGTTTCATAAATCTGCACAATCTTTATAAGTTCTGTTTTAATTGTCTCAATCCCTAAATCACTAGTTTCACAAATATGCTCAGATGAAGAGAAGAGAAATGTGCGCAAGAGGATTCATCTTTGATAAAAGGCTTTCGGTTTCTTCAACAATGGTAAACGAGCACATAATCCAGATCTCTTTAAGATTTTTAAGACAACACTGTAAGGGCCAAAAATAATAAAAAGACATCGAAGACAAAGACCGATAAAATAAAGCTGTTTTGGTTTGGTGCCGTCACAGCAAACTTTAAGAAAAAGCATATCACTCGATAACAATAATAGAAAAGTTCGATTCAGTTTCTGGAGGAGATATCTTCCTCAATTGACTCGGCTATTGAAAACCTCAAGATCCATCTCCGTTGGATCAGTCGCCTGAAGCTCTACTTGAATTCCGTCGAGCTCTCTCTTGAACCTGTCCTTAGAGCTCGCATAGATCATCTTGCTCCTCACTCTTGCCGTATCCGGAGACCTTAAGGCCAAAAAACAAACAAAGAGATTATTATTCCTCTGAAACAAATGTGAAGCTTAGCAAGAGAGTAGTAGTTCTTGCTACACTATACCATGCGATGAAGAAGATCTTGCTCTTCTGGCAGTTCTCTGCAGTGACGAAATCGAAATCGAAGATAGCGTAACGGCACTCATCAGCTGGAAGACTCGCTGCAAAGTCGTCATGGGACTGACCAGGCTCGCCGAGTTTCTCCACCATCACTTGCTTCTGCTGCTCCTCGATCTTGTAGACGATGAAACGGTATGTCCTCTTCGCCTTGAGTTCCAGAAACTTGAGCTTGCAGTCGTCGTGGACTGCCATTCCTGATGCCGCATTAGCCTGTTGTTTACCAAACCAAAACAAAGGAGAGAGACTTAGATGCAATCTCTCTTCAAAACACACACACATACTGATACTAGTAGCCTCTAGACCAAAAATTTGTGAAAACAACATTAGGAATTGATATATTTAATCCAAAAGATCTTGCCGTAAGGTTTATATCAAAAGGAAGACAACATATATGAACGATGATGGTGTATAGCTATCATAATATCGATTCTAACAGATTGTAGGACTATATATTATAAATCAAATCAAATGATACAGTGCATCAAGAGAATCGAAACACATCTGAAAATGAACAATATACAATTCAATAGCAGCGATAGTAATGGAGATATTAAGCGAGGAAATGGATTTTTCAATACAGGATTGTCACTGAGAAAAGGATCAACAAAACGGTAGGGGTAAACCTAAATTCAATTGAAATTCAACAGAGAAAACACACGGAGCACAGAGATTTCTCCTGATTTTTCAAAACCAATTAGCTTAACCAAAACTATCACACTGAGATTGTATAAGTTTATCGTCCGATTCCTATTGTAGATCAGTTTCCTCCGGCCATTTTAAACCCAAAATCTCAGAGATCTAAACAAACGAACGAGTCTATCCCCAGATCTAATCGAATAAAACTTTGAGCGAGAGCCTAAATCCGAAGAATCAAAATCAAAATCCGAGACGAAGCAAAACGAAATGGAAGCGCAATCTAAATCAAGTAACAGAGTATTAGAGTGAGAAAAGAGAAGAGAAATCGAGCTCACCATGGTTGAATCAAATTAGTTTCAGAGAAAATCCTTGCTGAGACGAAGAAGAAGGAGATTATGGAGTCTTTGTGATTTCTTCGGTGTGTGCGTCTTTTCTCTGCCTTTTCCTCAGCTTTATGCGGAAGCTACAGTCTTTTGTTATTGTTTTTTTTTAAGCGTCACCGTTTTTGTTTTTATTTTAAAATCGTTTTTTTGTTTACATCTAAATTATCTAATTAATTGACTTTATTTAATACATAGGCACGCATAAAAGCATAGTTTATGAAAATACATAACCAAATTAAGGATTAATTCTTGATTTAATTTTATGAATCACTAGATTAGGCCCCGCGTATACGCGGGTTTATTTTAATTTCCTTTTATAAAAATCATGAAAGAATATTAAACAAAATTTGATCACTTTTAAAAATAAGTAAAATAATATTAAAAACCCGATAATAAATCTCTAAATAAACTAAGATATGTAATATTTTTACATTTTAATTTTGAATTCATGATATGAAATAGAAAAGCTTACATGTGTCTAAATCTAATGGACTCGTTAATTTATGAAACTTTGATTATTCCATTGCTGAAACCTTTATTCTAAATATTGATGAATTTTTTTAATATTGTTTTATCTAACAAAAAAATGGAAAATTTAACTATTTAATATTAGAAGATTGGTCCATTATAAAACTTTCTTTTTAATATTATTTAGTTCCTTGATAATTATTTTGTTAGTTTTCTATTTATATTGTTTCTTTTTCAATTTTGTGTTTGCCTCTTACCATTATAAATTTTCATTTTCATTATTAATTAGTTGTTTTACAATTATTTTGTTAGTTTATTTATTTATGTTACTACATTTTTCCAATTTTATTGTGTTGACATATGTCATCACCAGATCAAATATTAGACACATGTAGCGATCTAAAGTTAATTATTCTTCATTGATATCTTGAACTTTTAAAACATGATTTTTTATTTCTTAATGAGAAAGAAACTTAAAAAAATATAGCTTGTTATATTTTCCTTTTCGTATTTGGAATATGTTTTTTTATTCCTTATCTTATTGGATGTAACAATTTTTTAATTATTTCTTCATAATTTTCTGATTTTTCGTTTTTTTTTCCTTTTCGTAATAGGATTATGTTTCTTCTTTACTTTTCCTAATGGATGTAATATTTTTTCTTTTTAATTGTTTATTTCTTTTTTTTCTTCTGATTTTTCCTAATGTACAAATAGGATTTTATTTATTACATTATTTTGAATTTTAATATGTGTTTGGACAATATAAATTTGATGAATGAGAAAACTTTTTCTATTATGATATGAAAAATATGATTTTTCTTCTTTTTACTCTAAATAGATATTTTTTTAATTTTCCTTTTTCTAACATTTTTTAATTATTTGTTTTTTTTTCCAAGACACGTGTCATGATCTTAACAGACGTAACATTAAAAAGTGACATATGTCGCGATCCTATAAATTATAAAAATCCTACATGTCGCAACCATCTAGCTTTATATAATAAGATATGTGTTTGGATAATATAAATTTGATAAATGGGAAAACCTTTTTCTGTTAGGATATGACAAATATTAATTTTACTTTTTTTAATATAATAGATTAAATTTCGTTTTTTTTAATTATCTTTTTCTAGTATTTTTAAAAATATTTTTTCCCCTAATACATGTGTCACGATCTTAACGGACATAATCTTAAAAGTGACACATGTCACGATCCTATATTTTATAAAAATCATACGTGTCGCAACCACGTCGCGCGCATCTAACTTTATATAATAAGATATTATCAAAACTTTTATGAGTGAAGGTCAGTAATATAGATAAATGTAATATACAAAAGTTGTGTCCAAAAACATATGTTATTATTTTATTGTGTTTTAACTTATGGTTTGCGATCATTTTTACTTAGAGGAATATGAGTACTTTTATTGGTGAGAGATCTAATCAAAATGATGTAAATACTTTTAGTATAGTTGAATTTTTAAATTATCTTAAATCTCCAATAATGAGAGACTCTTATCTATCTTTGAAAAAAAAGATATATACATGATTTGATATGAGTAAAAAAATATATACACACATATTAAATTATTTTTTACATCTAATCAAAATGATGTAAATACTTTTACTCTTATCTATCTTTGTAAAACATATCAAATTATACAAAATTATGAAACCTATATATAAGAGATGAAAAGAGTAATTATACATGATTTGAAGAAAAAAAATTCCAAATATCAGAGGTTTTTATAATATTTAATATTATTGTATTAACTAAACCAAAATTAATTTAATATTTATCAATTGAGAATTGGTTTTCATTAAAATCTATTATAGATTTTGTATGGTAAATACTCAATAAAAAGCTATAAGTCCAATTGCTATGGCAGTACATTGATTCAAATCCATTATTCCACTTCTGTCATTGAATAACACAAACAATTTATGTGAAGTCTAGAAAAATATGGTCAATATTTGATTTATTTACTTTGAAGTCAAGAAATGAAACTATTTTATTCATTGTAATATTTGTATGTTGTTATTATTTGTATTTTGTTGACTAATAAATAACATGAGAGGACTCCTATCTTTAGAAGGAAATAATAAAATGAAAGGTCGAAGACGCATATGGCTTCACTTGGGGATCTCAGGTGGCTCCACTTTTTCGACTCAGCTATCATGATAGCCTGTGATGGAAGCCAGCTGAGTGGAGCTGGAATATTCCATTCATGGACTTCCACGTGGCATATAATGATATAACTATTCAACTTCTAAATTTCTAATGCGAATATTTTGCGGGAAACTATAGTCCTAACTCCTAATTATCTACATGTATGTCTAATGATGCTTACACGCTCTAAACATCACCCCTTTGTGTTGATTGATTCCTTCAGAGAAGAGAAATAAACAATTAGCAAAATGTTTCAAAGCTATATAAACCTAAACCGCGTTAATGTCTCCGTTACTATATGTTTCGAACCACAACCACCAATTGTTATTTCTTCTTGCTTAGCACTCTGCGACTTGCGAACCCTGGCGTGAGTGCAGCCACCGCGTCCATCGTTAAAAGTACTCACTCATGTGAGGAACAACTCCTCCGATCCATTGAATTGACTTCACCATTCGTAATCGATCGTACGTACTTCCTCTTCTCGACAAGGAGAAGCTCTCCTTATGTGGGATGCAACTATGGCTCCGGAGCCTCCAACATGTCTTTCTATACATATAGGTTCAATTCAAGTTTCTTGATTCTTTTATTCACAAGCTTATAACTCGTGGGTCATTTTAATTTTGTAACAACATAAAGGCTCAATGGGAAACGTTCACAAACAAAAAGAAAAGAAAAAAGACATTTGTCGACACAAACTTGGTATATCTCCAAAGAAATCTATTTGAATATTTGGAGGGATAAACAATATTTCGATCCGGACAAGTACACATATAACATATTGATAGGTGTTCAATCGTTAGTAATAGTAAAACTTAGCGCATGGGGAGGGTTTAGTTGCTATGAAACATTTGCTAGAGTTCTTGATCGATCGTTGTCTTTTAACATCCGTGATTCCGTGTATATAATTACTACTGGGCACAAGCATGGGAACATACAAATACGCTATTTTCTACTTATAGTTTAGATTTCTTTTGTTACAGTTTTTACCCTATTCAGTTTAGGTTTACAATTTAAATTTTTGTATATGGTTGTCATGCTATTTGATTTAAGTTACTATTTTCCATATTCGCTATTTCTCATTTAGGGTTTATATTTTTATGTGGTTATTATATTTTACGTTACTTAGTTTAATATGTTTTACGTTACAAATAAATAGTTTAGGGTTTAGATTATGACTCTTCTTAAAAAAAAAAACCATTTGATGATAACATTAGCATGACACAAAGTCATAAAACATTTAGAAAGTAGTTAGAAAATGTGATAAACTTTAGATGAACCACGTCCTCTAGTTTTACATCCTCGAGCTGTGGATTGCCAATGATCTCTTTAACGTCTTTCTCGAATGATTCTTTTACCCGAAGGTGTGTGAAGATCCATCAAATAAGGTTAACAAGTCTACCTCTAAACAGACTTATATAAGTCTATTTAGAGTTATTTTAGTCAAGAAGAATCAATAATGTGTGAAGAGGTTAGCGGATATCATCTATGTATAAATACATTGGTCAAAGATGTTATTTATCCATACGACCATTATTTTTATCAGTGTAGTTTCGTTAATATATAAATGCGATTGACGTGTGATACCAAAGCATGCTTCCATCGACGGTTTTTATTAACACCTGGTCTCACTTGAATTACGAATTTCTAACAATAGCAAATCTCATCACCGAATGATTTAGACATTTTCCTTAATGTTTTTGATATTTTTTGTTGTCTTCTCTTTTCAGCTGCACGGTAAGACATTCTGTCAGCACTAAAAGGTCTCCCGTCAGCACTGAGAAGCTTCCAACATCACAAAAAGAGTTTCGTCATCAATAAATCTCGTCAGTACTCAATATTGTATTATTATGACAACATCAAATCTTGTTTATCATTCCTCCATATATTCAAATGTTCGGATGATATTTTAGATCCGAAAAATTGTTATCACGAATTCACGATTCAGGAATCTCTGATCTCGAATCTTATTTAAACTATGAAGTCACAGACCTCTGTTGACCCATATCCAAAGCAAAGCAAAATTTAGTCTTAACCTGGATGGTTAACTACTCAATTATCAACCATTCAATATTTGCGAAAACTTCGATAAACGTAATGAGAATGTAAAACTAATGAAAACAAAATGAGGAGTAGTTGGTAAAATTAAAATGTAGTCTGGTTTACACTTTTCATTAATCAGTCTTAAGTGCAGTTTACAATTGGGCGCCATATGAAAAAAATTAGCCTCCAAAAGACGAAAAAAGCCCAAAATTTTCAAAACGTAAAAATAAAAAACTAGCGCCATGTGGAAAAACATGCACCGTTTTCTGATTGGCTGGTTTATAGAGACGAGGATCGCGCTTAATTGATTTTCCACCGTCGATAAGAATGAATCCAACGGATACAAAAACGTGCCTCTTTCGTCTTCTCGCCTTTGTCTTCCCCTTCACCTATAAATGAAAAGGATGACCGCGAATGACACATTACAAATCTTCAATCTCATTCCATCACATTCTCCAATCTCTTGAAATAATTCAATTAGTGTTTAACCTGAGATCTGCGAAATGGAGACCACCGGAAAAGTGAAGAAGGGTTTCGGAGGAAGGAAAGGCGGTGGCCCAAAGGCGAAATCCGTTTCCAAATCGATCAAAGCCGGTCTCCAATTCCCGGTGGGAAGAATCGCCCGTTTCCTGAAGAAAGGACGATACGCCCAGAGGCTCGGTGGTGGTGCTCCGGTTTACATGGCCGCCGTTCTCGAATACCTCGCCGCTGAAGTAAATTTCTCGATTCTCTGATTTAATTTTCTTATAGATCTGAATTTGATGGCGAAATCATTTCTGATTCGATTTGTTTTTTTTATTTTTTTATTGATGATTCAGGTTCTGGAGCTTGCTGGTAACGCCGCGAGAGACAACAAGAAGACCAGGATCATTCCGAGGCATCTTCTTCTCGCGATCAGGAACGATGAGGAATTGGGAAAGCTTCTGAGCGGAGTCACAATCGCTCACGGTGGTGTTTTGCCCAACATTAACTCCGTTCTTCTACCTAAGAAGACTGGCAAATCGACCGAGGAGAAAGCAGCCAAATCTCCGGCCAAATCCCCTGTCAAATCTCCGAAGAAGGCTTGATCTGTTCTCTGATTGACTTCCCATTCACCATTATTTATCTTTTGTTTGGTATTTTGTGTTAGACTTGGTGAATGTAAATGTTGAAGAAAGTCGAGCATTGTAGTATTTTGCTCTTTTAGGGTTCTATGTATTTCGTTTCGGAAGTTGTTCAGATCCTATTTTCCTAAATAACAATTAAATGTTATTCCATTTCCCAAATCCATTGTTTCTAATCAAGCGAAACATTTTTTTAATTACTATGCGGCGAACACCTAAACTTAATTTACAAAACATTGCGGATATAAGATTTTGTTTAAACTTTCTCGTCGGAGATCTTACGGACCTTCATTTCGTAATCTTAATTTTGAAACTATGGTTACAACTTATAAGTAAATCAAGGTTTATTGAATTAAAGTAATCCCGAATTTAGTTATGTATGTTCATTAATTAAATGTAAACCACCAAAGAAAAGGATAATCAAAAACGACAACGTACAGTATATTTTCGTGCTATAGCTTCCGCATAAAGCTGGGCAAAAAGAAGAGAAAAGACGCACAGACGGAAGAAAAAGCGAAGACTCGATAATCTCCTGCTTCTTCGTCTCAGCAAGGAATTATCTCTGAAACTGATTTGGTTCAGCCATGGTGAGCTCGATTTCTATCCTCTTTTCTCCCTCCGCTTTCTGTTACTTGATCTAGTGTGCGCTTCTCGATTCCAGTTCCATTTCGTCTCGGGTTTTGATTCGCCGGATTTAGGCTCGTTTGTTTGTTTAGATCTCTGAGATTTTGGGTTTAAATGGTCGCAGGGACTGAGCCATAGTAAGGAATCGAACGGTAAACTAGACAATTTCAGTGTGATAGTTTTGGTTAAGCTAATTGGTTTTATTTAAAAAAAAAACAGTAGAAATCTGTCTGTTCCATGTGTTTCTCTGTAGAATTTCATTTGAACTCCGGGTAACGCCTATCGTTTTGTTGAGCACTGTTCCAGCGACAATCCATGGTTTTTGTTTTCCTGATTTGAAATTCATTTTCTCGCTTATCATGTAGATTATTACTATCGCTGCTATTGAAGTGTAAATTGTCCATTTCAGATGTGAGTTGGTTCTCTTAATGGACGGTGTCATTACAATCTGTCAGAATCGATATCATGATAGCATCATCGTTCATATATGTTGTGGAATTTTCCTGCGTTTTGTCTTGCTTGTGATGTTAACCATATATACACCAAGATGTCTACATGTTTTAGTTACAAATGCCGTTTCACAAATTTTTTAGTTGCATCTTATTCACCTTTGTTTTCGTTTGGAAACAGGCCACGGGATCTCCAGAGCTGTACGTCCAATCTTCAAGCAGTTCAGACTCAGAGTTTGAAGGCTCGTGTACCCCAGGGCACCTTTCTATGTCAAATTTGCACATGGACACAACAGAGGCTCATGTGTAAGTTAAGGTGTACATGAGTTGTTACCTAATAGTTTGATTGTCGGCCTAGCGTGCCGTTTAAATATTGTTTACGGGAGGAACTTCTTTAAAGACATTGGCGAAATTGATTTGGTGCATATATTACCAGTAGATGACTTTGATGACAGATTTGATGATCATGATCATGACATTGGCGAAATCCCTTGCTTTTCTTCCATGTTTTAGGATTTTTAGTAAATCCCTTGCTTTTCTGGAATTGACTATACAATTGGTGGCTGCAGCCGAGAAATCTACTTCATCAGTGGATACACAACAGAAGATTCTGAGGATGCTATCAAGGAACAACTCCAAACTCGTTTCAACTCATGTGGAACGATTTCCAAGTTCTTTTTCCCAAAAGACAGTGACACAGGATCGTATCTTGGGTTTGATTCTTTCCTTCAGTTTGGTATTTGTTTAGTTGATGTTCAATACCAGCTCATAAACTTTTATTTTCCATACAGGTTTTGTTACTTTATCCTGGACGTACCAAAGGAACCAACAACCAACGTGGCTGCTATAAGTCAAAGTTTGATGGAAGATTATCATCTTCATGTGAGGCGTGCTACTTTGAAGACAAGGGTTCTTAGGGCTGAAATGGCCTAGGTCAGGTACTAGTTGAACTTTTCTGTATAACGGTTTTGAATATATAAAATTTGTTTCTTGACTACAGATAGAAACAAAGTAAATTTGTTTTCTTGTGGATAATGCAGGCCGTTTTTTTTCCATTACCGTTGGCAGACCATAGCAATCCACAACTATTATTGGTCGTTTCAACGGTGGCTACTAGTTGTTTGTCGACCAGCTACATGACATTTAAGTTTTTATGGTTTTTTGTAAGAGAACTTGTATTATGAGTCTAGGACTCGTGTATATATTAGTTACATGATCAATTGTCTTTCATAAAACTAGTTTCTTTCAACTTTATATTGTGGTCAAGTTTGACACAGTCGGTAGTTCGCTTACGTGCTCTTCCAGGAAAAGGATCGAACAGAGCAAAATGCAGAGTTTACTTGATTCCTAGGGCCTAAACCTGTTTCATTGTGTATTAGTGTTTTATCCAGTGTTTTTAAGGCAATCTAGGTCCGTTCAGATAAAGAAAGTTTCTTAAAAAGGAGATGTTTCTATATTAATCTAATTGAGAGAGCTCGTAACATGGAAACTATGTTAAGGTTTTATAAGGGACTATATGGTATGGTATTCCGTCGAGGGATCTAGGCGTTATGCATGCGGGGAGTTGTAGACGTTTATTTCACCATCGTCAAGTTGGTTAGTAAACTAATCTACGAATAAAAATGTCAAAATATATTAGGTTACTTAGCAGAGAGTTAGAGCCTTTTTTATTCATAAAACAGGAAGGAGTTAGTGCGCTGTGGACAGGGCTTGGTCCTAACATTGCAAGGAACGCTCTAGTAAACGCTGCACTCCTATAAAATGACATTTATGTTTGTTTACCTCTTGCTTGGCAATTTGGCTTTGGCAAATGCAGCATTATTGGATAAAAACACGCTCTACGGAAGGAGAGATTAGATTGTAGAGGAACTTTTTTCCTAAACGCGCTCTAAACCCATGTTGATATATTTTTCCACTCATCTTTTTTCGAGTTCAAATTTAGAAAACTCTCTTTCGGTACCAAATCATTTGTGTTTTGTTTTAGCATCTTTACTTGGAAATGTTGTTATGATCCTCACGTTTTAGCGACTCTTCTTTAGTTCTTTTAAATCATGTTCTCCTGGACTCTGGCAGGTGAAAACCCTAAATTTTAAGACAAGCATTGTCCTATTGATTCGTAGACCCCTCAACGGAATACCAAACCTAGTTACATAGTCCATTATAAAACCTTACATAGTTTCCATCTCTATTTTTTTAGAAACTTTCATTAACTGAACAGCGGTAGAATACCTTAAAAACACTAATTCCACGACAATCATATATATGAATAGGGTCCATCACTCTCCATATTTTGGACATGTGGATAGAGGAAAATATGACATGTGGCAATAATAATTTTTAGTTTAAAAAAAAAATATAACTTTTCATTTTCTTCTCCAACCCAAAAGGTAATAAGTTACAAATTACAAAATCATTACATGTGAAGCTAATAAGTCACTCTTACAAATTCCTTTTGTTGTAACGGAAACTACTTAATTACTCCAACACTGTTACCCTTCCGCTTTCACTTTAAGTTATTATTGAACCTATAAATTATCCTAATATATTGAGAAACCGATCCAGCGAAGAGCGATGACGGGGAATTACTATTCTATGTAGCGATGAGTAAACACAGAGAGTTGAGGGCATCAAAACGTGTGGTATGATGCAAAAATATATATTTGAAAGTCAATTGCTAAACAAGTAATTATAAATTAAATTGCGGGTTTTATTTGAATTCGAATCGATAATATTACATATCAAATATGAGTCACAAATCTAGAATTGTTTTATAATATTCTTTTTAAACTATAACAACATAAAAACCCGCGCGTATGCGTGGGCATTGGTCTAGTACACAATGAAAGAGGAAGGATCAAGCCCTAGGAATCAAGCAAACTCTACATTTAATGCTCGACCACACTTGCATAGTTTTATGAGAGAGACAATAAATTATGAAACTAATAAATATTAGAGTCAATTTGGTGAGTAGCATATTTTTAACCTTTAATTAGGTAAACAACAAGTTCAAAAATGGTTATTAGCAATTGACATAAGAATACCCAAAAAAAGAAGATCAAAACGTGTTGGAGAGAAAAAATTGGCTTTCTATGCGTGGAGATGCATTTCTCTCCCCTCTCTTTAATGCATTTTTCTCTTCTATTTAATATATTTCTCTTCCATTTCTTTTTATTTTTATCGTCCATGTATGGTTTTCTTCCTTTCAACTATCTTTCTTCTATTTCTTATTTTCTCACCAAAAATCAGAAACATTATCTATTTATATCCATATCTTGGTAATTTTGAATTGTATCAACATAATTGAACCATAATACCATTAATTCACTATTAAATCCATCATAACTTTAACCCAAGGTACATCATTAATCTATGAACAATTGAGAAATTTCTTTAAAAAAGTGTTATTCTAGTTTAACCCTATGTGAAAGATAATGAATTTGGTTCACTACATCTATATATAGTTTGGTATGATTTGAAATGGTTACCTATATATGCATTTGGTTGTCTATATATGTATATATATGGCTTAATATAACTATATCTATCTATCTATATATTTGTATGGGTGTCTGTATATCTATCTGGCAATGTATATTTTCAAATCAGAGAATGCCACTCTGTAGTCCACACATTTATTTAGAAAAAATACATTAGAACCAATGAACGCATAATCTCACATAAGTGTACATCGAATTAGATAACGCTTCATTTGTTTCAATGGAGTGGTAAAACAATAGTATAGAGATCCACTGAAATTGATGCCGGTGAATAATCCCATACTACGCAAGACCATTAATACCATCACTCTATCTACAAAAACAAGTTACAATGCTTCGTAGTTTTGAGTACATGCATATACCTATCTATATGTTTGCATACCGATTTTCCAAGTTAAAAAACATCACATAACAGGCGAACCGATGTTCTGTCCACCAGTAATCAATCAGGGAATACCCAATTCAACAAAAAGTCCTAATTTTATGAATATAGCAAGAATGACATCGTAAAAAAGCAAGAATGACATCATAAAGTCAGAAAGCTGAACATAATTTGCATGTAAACATCAAAAAGCATGAATTTCGATAACCTAGACCTCCGTAAAATTATGCGACACATCATTTTACGGAATAAATTCTCATGACTGCTTGTGTAATCTTACACTACCGAAGATCTAGAAATAACGTTAGGCTCATCTAACAACAAAACACTTCATATCTTTCGGTGGGATTTCAAAGATTTCACTTCCCATTATAACACATTAATTGGGTTTGGACAAAAAACTCTCTCCTGCCTATGGAACGCATGGGGTTAAAGTTGGAAGGAATGAGTCCAAAATATTTACATGACTCAAGCCCAATAATTCCATTGTTGAATTCTTAATTATGTCACTTCCTATAGCAGCTACTGGGTGCAATTACTCTAAATATTAAGCACATTGTCATACATAGATAGACTCATAATACAAATTATTTTATCTTATAAATGTCGATAAACAAGTAGTAGCCACCGTTTGCTAAAGGGGTAAAAGTCAAACTCGGCCTGCATTATAACCACAGAAAAGAACAACGAGTTAGATAGTGACCCGGTTAATTACTTTGTTAAATCATGACAAAGAAACAAATTACATTTAGGTACCTGATGGGTCTTGTAGATCCTGGGTGAGCCTACGTAAACGGCCTCTATGTCTTTCCCTAAAGCTTTTATTGACCATGTCGTTTATGTAACGAAGATAATGTGGACAATTAGGATAGCCTACATAACAATTGAATTCAGGTCTCAGCGTACCCTTGACAACCTTAAGCTTCCTGTCTCCCATGTAACTTCCATCCAGTGTTAACGCCTTGCCATTATCATTACTTATATCAATGAAAGCATATCTGTCAAACAAAATAATTAAAAGTCAATCTCTTCGCTTCCTATGATAACTTTGAGACTTGTCACAAAATTAGAGGAACAAGTCACAAACCCTATGGAAGCACCCGTTGTACACGCATAGGGAACGTAAACCCTTGTGATCTCTCCACAAGGAGCGAAATGTTCAATCAATGCGCTTTTGATATCGTCCTTGTTATGGGATCGATCAAATCCCTTGACGAAAAGGGTTCTCTCATTGTTTATATCCAGTTGCATAGATAAGAGACAACACTTGTTGCTGATCTCTGGGGTTTTATTCTCCTATATAGACAAAACAACAGATTTATGTGTGAATCACATCAGTAGGTCGTCAAAGAGCAGCATTTCTCAAGCTACAGAACAATTTAAAGTAATCGGTTTTGTACCTTCTTCAGAATAACGTCCACTAGTTTTTTCACAGTTTTAGTCATGTCTTCGAAAGAGTCTTTCAACATTTCGATTTCCTGCCAATAGTAAAACAGATAAGAAATTAAAACCTAGAGAAAGTGGAAAAAATGATATACAAAAGCTATAAGAGAATTTTATTCACCTTACGGGCACGTTTTAAGGTAGAGGTCAGTCTATTAATAGTGACATCATGAGCAGCTAATTTCTTGGACGCTCGACTTTTTTTCTCTGAAATAAAACCGATATCAATTCAACAGAAAGCATATATGAACAAAAAAATCTTGTATAGATGAAAGTGTGACAAAGCACAATGTGACCAGACCAATTCAACAGTAAGCAAACTATATGAACAAAAAAATCTTGTATAGATGAAAGTGTTACAAAGCACAATGTGACCAGACCAATTCAACAGAAAACAAACTATATGAACAAAAAAATATTGTATAGATGAAAGTGTGACAAAGCTGTTAGGAGATGTTAGGAGATCTCGGAGATAGCGAGATCGACGGAGATCGACTTGGAAGGAAAGTGAAGATTTATGTATATTTCCTTGATTGTTAAATAGGTAGATTTCCTATTCTCATATATGTAAAGAACTATTCTCATGTATGTAAAGAACTTGTTAGACAAGTTATTATGATCTTGTATAAATATGCCTATTGGCTAATGAATAAAGATGAGAGAAACTATTACAGTACAAAGGTTTCCTCCAAACTTATCAAAAGCACAATGTGACCAGACCAATTCAACAGAAAGCAAACTATATGAACAAAAAAATCTTGTACAGATGAAAGTGTTACAAAGCACAATGTGACCAGATCAATTCAACAGAAAGCAAACTATATAACAAAAAAACTTCTTGTATAGAAGTGTTACAAAGCACAATGTGACCAAGATCAAGAGGAAAAAGTTTGCGAGGAGAAAGGCTACACTAAAATCCACAGCAAATACAATGGTTCGGTCAAAGTAAAAATCAAGATAGTGTAGTAACAAATATTAATCAAGTCGATGAAGCAAAGGAATAAAGAGCCAAACCAAAAGAAACCAAATAACTTACGTTTCTGTGAACGCTCGGTGGATTTCTTGCGTTTATTTGTTCCTATAAAGCCATATATCCACAAGAAAAGAAAAACACTTGAGAAGACATCTTAAACGGATAGCAATTAAAGAAAGCTCAAACCAAAAATAAGTCCAATCTCGTACCTTCTCCAGGTTCAACCTAAATATTGGAAAGCAAAAGATACGATTAATAAATAAAAAAAAAAGTGATCAAAAGACAAAATAAGTAAAAACAACAAAGAAGAAGAAACATACATAGGTGGATGTGGAGCATTTCTTGAGCCTCATGTCAGCTTTGTCCATGAGAAGCTGAGAAGAAAAGAGAATTGCGGCAGCCAGATCCTATAGGCGCAAAAAATTCCCTAAGACTACGGGTGCAACTGGATTGTAATTTTTCTGAATGGAATCACATGGAATGGAGGATTCCAAGGAATTCCACAAAAATGTTACGATCTGAATAAAAGTTAAAGTTTATTCCATTTATTCCAGTGGGATGTGTGGGAAAAAAAGTGAATCACGTTAAAAACCATTCCAAAACAAAAAGCATCATGAATAAAATGAATGGAAAGGAATGTGACTAAACTAATTAATTTAAACAAAATTTATTTTGATTCCATCGTATTCCTTTAAACAATTACCATTCATGCTATGTAAATACTTCTATAAACATATTCATTCTATTCATTTGATTCTCATAACTACCACTATCCCATTTCTTTGTATCCCATTTTTATACATTCATCTTATTCATACTATTCCAAAAATTGATAACCAGTTTGAGCCTACGTATTTATTAACCTTATTGAAACATGAAACCGGCGCCGTATCGAAATGCAAGAAAACGTTTCTGATTGGCTAATCCGTAGACACGAGGATCGCTTCTAATCTACCGTCGTCGATCAAACTAAATCTAACGGATAAAAAATATTCTCCTTTCTTTTGTCCCGCTCACCTTTTAATATAAATCACACTCAAGGATCGTGAAGTCGAACCACACTCAACTCTCATACCTCAATCCATTCATCAAATCAAACTTTTTCAAGTTTTATATTTTCCCATCTGAGTCTTACTCGTTTTAATCGACTTTGCTGCAATGGAAACCACCGGAAAAGTGAAGAAGGGATTCGGAGGAAGAAAAGGCGGTGGCCCAAAGGCGAAATCCGTTTCCAAATCGATCAAAGCCGGTCTACAATTCCCCGTCGGGAGAATCACCCGTTTCCTGAAGAAAGGACGATACGCACAGAGGCTCGGTGGTGGAGCTCCGGTTTACATGGCCGCCGTTCTCGAGTACCTCGCCGCAGAAGTAATTTCCCAGATTCTCATTTTCATCTGATTTGATTTATTGGTATTAGCGAAACCATTTTCTGATTCGAAAAGTTCCGATTCAGGTTCTGGAGCTTGCAGGTAACGCCGCGAGAGACAACAAGAAATCCAGGATCATTCCGAGGCATCTTCTTCTCGCGATCAGGAACGATGAAGAATTGGGAAAGCTTCTGAGCGGAGTCACGATCGCTCACGGTGGTGTCTTGCCCAACATTAACTCCGTTCTTCTTCCTAAGAAGACTTCTAAATCGACGGAGGAAGTCGCTTCCAAGTCGCCGGCGAAATCTCCGAAGAAAGCTTGATCTGTTCTCTAAGAAGGTACTTCCTCATTTCACCATTCTTATGTTTCAGTTTGGTGAATTGATATGTAGAAAATCTAGCTTTATAAATTATGTAATTCGGATTTGAATTCTCTTCAGATCCAACTTTATTTTAACAAATCTATTAGATTGTATAGTCCGGTTAATTCCGGTTTACATGCTTGTATAAGTTTCCTTTAGCTTACTCAAGTGTGTATATATACTCCAATGTACATTCATTAATCATTAATGAGAAATACGAGATTACACTCTTAATATGGTATCAGAGAAAATCTAACAAACTTTCTTCCGCTTTCTCACTCTTTCTCACACTTTCTCGGCACTTTCTCGCCAGAAATTTCATCGGTTCAGCTCGAATCTTCCATCGTTTCTCTTCATTCCTTCGAATCGATGAGTCTTTCCCCTTTGCGCTTACTCTCCGAGCTCGTAATTGAGATTTCATCGGTGATTTTGTCGTATCTCAGGGATCTATCGCTCTTCGTTTTTCTCGTTGTTTTCTACTTTCATTGATCGTCGGTGGCTCTCGCTCTCGATTCTCATGGATCCAGCTGCTCCTCCTCAGTTCTTGGACCAATACGAGAATCCATACTTCCTCCACAACTCCGATCATGCTGGCTTGGTTCTCGTCTCCGATCGTCTTCAATCCAGAGCCGATTTCCATGCTTGGCGTCGCTCTGTTCGGATGACTCTCAATGTACGCAATAAGCTGGGATTTGTCGATGGCACCGTTCCTAAACCTCCCGTTGGGCATCGCGACGTCGGTTCTTGGTCGTGTTGCAACGACATGGTGGCCACATGGTTGATGAATTCCGTCTCCAAATCGATAGGTCAGAGTCTTCTCTTTATGAATACTGCTAAAGCTATTTGGAACAATCTGCTGGCTAGATTTAAGCAGAACGATGCACCTCGCGTCTATGAAATTGAGCAAAGATTAGCCTGTATTCAACAAGGTCCACTGGATATTAGTGCTTACTACACTGAATTGATGACGCTCTCGGAAGAATACAAAAATTATGTGGAGCTTCCCGTATGTACTTGTGGACGATGTGAGTGCAATGCGGCAATCTTGTGGGAGCAATTGCAACAACGGAGTCGAGTCACTAAGTTTCTCATGGGTCTCAATGAGACTTATGAATCCAGTCGTCGTCATATATTGATGCTCAAACCGATTCCGTCTATCGAAGATGTCTTCAATATGGTTGCTCAGGATGAGAGACAGAGGTCTATTCGGCCAACTTCGAAGCTTGATAATGTCGTCTTTCAAAGCTCAGGACCTTCTGATGCTGCTGCCTATGATTCTCAACTGGAGAATGGTGCCTTTGCTACTCAACATCAGAACAATTATCGTTCTAAGCAGCGACCTGTTTGCACCTACTGTGGTCAGCTTGGGCATATTGTTCAAAAATGCTTCAAGATCCATGGTTATCCTCCAGGGCATAAGCTTCACAACTCGACTATGGCTTCAGATGCCACTCAACCGGCCTCTTATGGCCGTGGACAACCCAATTCTGCACCAAGGAACCAGAATCAATCTCAGTTCTCTGGTCCTCATGCTCTGCAGAAGACGAATGCTGTAGCTAATGTCATGACGGGTTCTAGTCCCTTTCTCTCATCTCCTGCTACCAATGCTGTCAACATTGATTTGAGTCAGATTAGTCAAGATTAGTTCCAGAGCCTCATTCAACAGCTCCAATGTCACGTGAAACCTTCTGCGTCTCTGGTTCCTCTTCAAAGTGCGTCGATAACTGAGAATGGTCACATGGCTGCTGAATCCTCCTCTGGTATTATTCCCTTTCCTTCTTCTAGCCTTCGTTTTGAACATAATTGCCTCACCTTTCAACATCAATGTCTTTCTACCCTTTATAATTCTCTTCCTCCTGGTTCTTGGATAATTGATTCTGGTGCTACAACACATGTCTGTTCTGATTTGGCTTTGTTCAGTAGGGTCTCTCCTGTCTCCGGTGTTACAGTCTCTCTACCTAATGGCATTAGAGAACCCATTAGTCACACAGGCACAGTGCATATTTCAGATTCCCTTGTCTTGCATAATGTTTTGCATGTTCCCTCATTTCAGTTCAATCTCATTAGTGTTAGTAGCTTACTCAAAGATAATAATTGCTCTGCTCATTTCTATATTGATCATTGCTTGATTCAGGAGTCTATTCAGGGCTTGATGATTGGTAAAGGCTTGCTCATGAACAATCTCTACATTCTTGATACTCGTGTCAATGCCAACTTCTGTGAATCCTTGCTAGTGGATGGACATCTTTGGCATCAGCGCCTTGGACATCCATCAGCTGCCAAGTTAACTGATCTTACGGGTACTATAGATGAATAGAGAATATATTGAGTTGTATTGATAGAGATATGCACAATATATACAAGGAGCCGTGACATCTCCACGGATCTCATGAGAGTAATTACAGGGATTGTGATAAGCGTAATTGTAGAGATTGATATATATTATTGACTAGGAGATGTACTTTCCTTAATACGCCCCCTCAAGATGGAGGGAGTGTGCGAGACTCCAATCTTGGAAGTAAGATCCGTGAAGGGTGCGCGTGTCAGCGGTTTAGTTAATGCATCTGCGAGTTGATCTTTTGAGGACACATGAACCACACGTAGAGTTCCTGAGGCCACCTGATTTCGAATGAAGTGATAGTCCAGTGCCAAGTGTTTCATGCGTGAGTGGAAGACAGGGTTTGCACATAGGTAAGTGGCTCCTACATTGTCACAGTAGATGACAGGAGGAGCAGGAACTCGAACGCCTAATTCAGAGAGGAGCGAACTAATCCAGCATAATTCAGCAGATGTTTTGGCGACTGACCGGTATTCCGCTTCAGTGGATGACCTCGCGACTCCTTTTTGCTTTTTGGAGGACCAGGAGATAGGATGCTTACCGAGATACACGATGTAAGCATTGGTGGAGATATAATCATCACGATCTCCTCCCCAGTCGGCATCGGAGTAGGCGTGGAGTGAGCATGGATTGTTTTTGCTGTAGAAGAGGCCATGGGAGCTAGTACCAGCAAGATATCGCAGCACTCTCTTGACGGCATTCCAATGCTCAGAAGTTGGAGCATGCATAAACTGTGACAACCGATTCACTGCATAGGAGACGTCGGGTCTCGTGAATGCTAAGTATTGAAGACTTCCAACGGTTGAGCGATGTTGCGTTGGATCGGAGAGAGGTGTTCAAGAACCTAGAGTCAGCTTAGGTGTACTCGCCGTTGGTGTACTCACAGGTTTGGCATCCAACATATTACAGCGTGTGAGAAGATCCAGAATGTACCTGCGTTGTGTGAGATGTAATCCAGAGGGTGTACGATGAGCTTCAATGCCCAAGAAGTAGTTAAGGTCTTCTGGATCTTTGACTGAAAACCGAGTTGCCAAGGAGTGAAGAGTCTGGTCGAGGAGGCGCTGATCGTTGCTAGTGACAATGATGTCGTCAACGTAGACGAGCATGTAGAGGAGACTGTGACCATTCTTGAGAATGAACAGAGAGGTATCAGCAACAGAGTTGAGAAATCCAGCGGATAGCAGGAAGTTGCTGAGCTCAAGATACCAAGCTCTAGGTGCTTGCTTAAGACCATAGAGAGCCTTGTGGAGGCGACAAACATGTGTTGGATTGTCAGGGTCTACGAAACCAGTGGGTTGATTGATGTAGACCTCTTTGTGCAATGTACCTTGAAGGAAAGCGGTGTTGACATCCAACTGTTTAATCGGCTAGGAACGGCTCACAGCAACGTCGAGGACTGTTCGGAGGGAGGTCGATTTGATGACAGGACTAAACGTTTCTGTGTAGTCAATGCCCGGCTGTTGAGAGTAGCCTTTCGCAACAAAACGAGCTTTTAACCTGCGAACTGAGCCATCAGGAGCATACTTAACTGTGTAAATCCAGCGAGTACCTACAATGTTCTGATTAGGAGAGGATGGGACCAGGGAGTAGGTTCTATGGCGCAGATGAGAATTGTATTCATCACCCATGGCCGCTCTCCATCGTGGATCAGCTAGTGCTTGTGCGACTGTCGTGGGAATCCAATCGTCGCATTTAGCATTCACCACAGAGAGAACATACTTGGAATTGGGTTTGCGGATCCCGGTCTTACCACGAGTGATCATGGAGTGGGCATTTTCGGGAAGTAGTGGTGGAGCGACGGCGGGCGGCGGTGTGGGATTGCCCGGCGATGAAGACGGCGCGGAGGATTGAGAGGAAGACGGCGATGGACTGGATGCAGATCGAGAACCAGAGTTGGTGGTATGGGCCTGACTTGATTGTGGGCTTTGTTGACTGGAGGGCACAGGGGACGACCGTGGGCCTGAAGAAGAGTGAGATTGGGCCTGGGCCTGTGAGGTGTGAGTCACCTCGTGGTCTGAGTTCACCGAGACGGAGAGATTGGAATTATCGTGACGGTGAGAGGAGTCAGAAGCCACCGCAGAATTGGACTGAGCCGTGGTGAGTGATGTCGGAGTGACAGCGGCGGCGCTTTCCAGTGAGGTCGGAGTGTCAGCGACAAGGCTGTTCGGTGGTGAAGTCTCCGGGAGATTCGGCGGTCCATTCGAAGGTGAAGGTCCTGAGCTCGGTGGCGGTACAATCAAGGAACTGTTGAGTGGTGAGAGTGGGACCACAGAGACCGGCGGACACCAATCGTCAATTTGCCCTGCAGTGACAGTAGAGGAAGAAGATAAGGACTGAAAGGGGAAAGTTTGTTCGTCGAAACGGACATGACGAGACACGTAAAGGCGATTGGAGGTTGGATCTAGGCAAAGGTAAGCGCTTTGGGTTAGCGAGTACCCAAGGAACACACATGGAGTAGAGCGTGTTTCAAGTTTATGAGAGCGATAGGGTCTGAGCCATGGAAAGCTTAAACACCCAAAGATTTTGAGTTTGGAGTAGTTAGGCTCTTGTTGAAATAGGAGGCGATAGGGAGAGGTTAGGGATAGAACCGGGGTTGGCATTCTATTGATGAGATAGACAGCTGTGGAAAAGGCATAGGACCAGTAAGTGTTTGAGATTTTGGCATGGTGAAGAAGGGAGAGACATGTTTCAACGATGTGACGATGTCGTCGTTCCGACAGACCGTTGTGTTCAGGTGTATGAGGAGGAGATGTGAGGTGGGATATCCCCGTGGAGGCAAGAAAGTCACGGAGAGCAATAAATTCACCACCAATATCAGAGAAAAGAGTCCCGATTCTTGTTTGCAAGCGATTTTCGGTGAGCTCCTTAAACCGAATGAAGGTTTGTTTGACATGAGATTTGGGCTGCAAAGGATAAAACCAAGTGTAACGAGTAAAATGGTCGACAATGATGAGGTAATGTTTGTATTTGTCAACAGATAGGAGCGGTGAAGTCCATAAATCAGTGAAAAGATATTGCAATGGACGAGTGGAGGAGATTGAGGTTTGAGAGAAACTTAGTTTGTGACTTTTATTGGAAAGACAATCAACGCAAGACAAAGATTGAGGTAAAGAAGTAGAACAAGGTAAAGAGTGTTTTGAAATGATATTCTTGAGAATCGGAAGAGAAGGATGACCAAGCCTTGAATGCCAATCAGAAAGGGAAGCTTTGACAGTGGGAGTTGCAAAGAATGCTGTCACTGCAGATTTCATGATCGGCCACTCGTACAGCTCCTCATTTGTACGACCTTGGAGTAACGGGACCCCCGAGTTCAGATCTTTCACCTGAAAATGAGCCGGGAAGAATTCCACGGAGACTTGGTTAGTGTTACACAGACGGTATACAGAAATAAGATTCTTCTTAATATCCGGAACATAGAGCACGTTTGTAAGTGAAAAGGGTTTAGTGTGTGAGGGAAGAGAGACAAAACCAGTTTGGGAGATTGGTAAGCCATTTTCGTCACCGATGATAACCTCTTCACCGCCTATGTAAGGTTGATGTAGCGCCAGATTGTTCAGATCTGAGGTGATATGGTGAGTAGCACCAGTATCAAGGACCCACTGCGGAGATTGTTGTGAGCTTGCTGCAAAATTGGCTCTGGGAGCCCATGGAGCTGGCGGGTATGGAGGAGTGGGGAGCAGCGCCCTGGAAGGAGCCTGTTGAGTCATGGGAAGCTGGGGACAACGTCGTGCAGAGTGCCCCTGCACGCCACAGATCTGACACCGGCCAAGGTAAGGTCTCGAACCCTTTTGCTGATTGGTGTTATTGTTCCAAGATTGCTGTTGAGGTTGATTGTTTCGTTGTCCATGTTTCTGGACGGACTTGGAGCGGTTGTTGGCGTAGTTTGCAGTGATAGGGAAGGAGGCAGGAGATGATGACATCAGTTTGGCTTCATGGTTAATGAGTTTTTCGTGAAGCTCCATTAAGGTGGGAGGAGCATCACGGCCTTCCGTTTGATCAACGACTGATTTATATTCTTCAGGAAGACCTTGGAGAACATAATCAATCTTGTCTTCATGGTCGACGACTTTGCCCAAAAGTGCAAGTTGATCAAACCTGGATGTGAGGCTTGAACGTATTCGTTGATGGTGTTGTTGCCTTTTTGCCATTGTTTGAGTTGGTGTTGCAATTGTTTGATGTGACCACGGCTTGGTTTTGCGTAGGTCGAAGCAAGTGTGTCCCACACAGAAGCAGAAGTGGAGGCAAGGGAGACAAGAGGCTGGATTGCTGGAGAGAGAGATCCAAGAAGGGCGCTGAAAATGAGCTTGTCCTGGCGTGTCCACAGAGTGAAAGCTGGATTAGCTGTTGTTGTGTCTCCAACCGTGAGTGTCGGTGGAGGTGGAGGGACGGTGGTATCAAGGTGGGAGGCTAGTTCATAGCCGTCGAGTAACGCATGGATTTGACGGCTCCAAACGATGTAGTTGGAGGAAGACAGTTTTGTGATGTTGGCCATGTTGAGATTGAGAAGAGAGGTAGTGGTGGGGGTGATGACTTCCGCCGTGGCGGTAACATCGGGAGGGGAAGAGTTGTTGTCAGAGGCCGACATAGCAGAGATAGTTTGATAGAGAGAGAAAGGGAAGATGAACAGAAAGAGAATTTTTTTTTTTTTTTTTTTTTTTTTTTTGAGGTCTAGATATCTTTCTGCTCTGATACCATATAGATGAATAGAGAATATATTGAGTTGTATTGATAGAGGTATGCACAATATATACAAGGAGCCGTGACATCTCCACGGATCTCATGAGAGTAATTACAGGGATTGTGATAAGCGTAATTGTAGAGATTGATATATATTATTGACTAGGAGATGTACTTTCCTTAATAGGTACTTTACCTATGTCTAAGTCGAATCATTCTGATCATTGTACAATTTGTCCATTAGCTAAACAAAAGCGTTTACCTTTCAAATCTAATAATCGTTTGTCTGCCTTACCATTTGATCTTGTTCATCTTGATATATTGGGTCCGTTTTCTGTTGAATCAGTAGAAGGTTACAAATATTTTCTCACTCTTGTAGATGACTGCACTCGTGTAACCTGGATCTATATGTTGAGAAATAAAATTGATGTTACCAATGTCTTTCCTGCATTTCTTCAGCATGTCAAAACTCAATATAATACGGTTATTAAATCCATTCGCAGTGACAATGCTCCAGAACTTGCATTTCATAAACTTGTTCAAGATCATGGTTTAGTACATCAATATTCATGTGCTTACACACCTCAGCAGAATTCTGTAGTTGAAAGGAAACACCAGCATATTTTAAATGTTGCTCGTGCTCTACTGTTTCAATCAAATGTCCCTTTGGCTTATTGGATTGATTGCATTTACACAGCTGTTTTCTTAATCAATCGCACTCCTTCATTGTTGTTGCATAAACTGAGCCCTTTTGAGACACTTGCTAAGAAACAACCTGATTACTCATTTTTTCGTTCATTTGGTTGCCTTTGTTACGTTTCTACTCTATCTAAAGATCGTAATAAGTTCACACCTAGAGCTGAACAATGTGTTTTCTTAGGCTATCCTTCAGGATATAAAGGCTATAAGGTGTTGAATTTATCTACTAATGTGGTTTCCATTACTCGCAATGTCATTTTTCATGAAAATGTTTTTCCATTTAAAACATCTGCATCTCCTATGCCTGCTGTTGATTTGTTTTCTCATACTATCTTACCAATGCCTACTCCTGCTGTTCTTGATCCTATTCTTGAATTGCCTATTCATAATGAAAATCTTGCTCATAGGGCTAATAATCGTGCTGCTCGTTCTACACGGTTAATGCATCTCATTCTCATTCTGATGCATCTCACTCGCATACTGTTGCATCTCCATCATTATCAATTGTACCTCCTGCACACACTACACCGCATTCCAATACTAATGCATCTCATTCTCATTCTGATGCATCTCCTCTGCATTCATCTGCATCACGCTCTAATGCCACAAATCCGTCACAAGAGACTGTTTCACGAGGAACGGGACAGAGTCGCCTGATCAATTCCAGACCAGTACGACATGCAAGGGCTCCAGGTTATTTGTCTGATTATCATTGCTCTCTCACACAAATTTCTAAACCTGATATCCCCTCTACTACTGTTTTATCCTCTTTCTTCAGTCCTCTCTTATTCTGCTCTCAAGCCTCTTTTTCAGTCCTATGTTCGCTCTTACTCCATTGAAACCGAACCCTCTACTTTTAAGCAAGCTGTGTCATCACCTCATTATCGGCACGCAATGAACGAGGAATTGGAAGCAATGGAGGTAAATCGTACTTGGACTATTGAATCGTTGCCTCCTGGAAAGAATGTGGTTGGATGTAAGTGGGTTTACACCATCAAATATAAAGCCGATGGTTCTATTGAGCGGTATAAAGCACAGCTGGTTGCAAAAGGCTTCACGCAACAAGAGGGAGTTGATTTCACGGATACGTTCTCTCCCGTTGCAAAATTGGCGAGTGTAAAATTGCTTCTTGGTCTTTCTGCTATCAAGGGATGGAGTCTCTCGCAGATGGACGTCTCAAATGCTTTTTTACACAGTGATCTTGATGAAGAAATCTACATGAGTTTACCACAGGGTTATACTCCAGCTTCAGGCACTTTACCTCCGAATCCGGTTTGTAGACTACGCAAATCCATCTACGGATTGAAGCAGGCTTCCCGTCAGTGGTATCACTGTCTTTCAGCGGTTCTTTTCAAGGCTGGCTATCAACAATCTCAGGCGGATAACACTCTCTTCGTACAAGAATCTGGTGCTAAGTTCACAGCCGTCCTTGTTTACGTTGATGACATTATGATTGCCAGTAACAGTGACTCTGAAATGGCTGCTCTCAAGGGTTTTCTCCATTCTGAATTCAAGATCAAGGATCTCGGTCCTCTCCGTTTCTTCTTGGGTTTGGAAGTTGCTCGCACGTCAGCTAGGATCTCTGTGTGCCAACGGAAGTATGCTCTTAGTCTTCTTGCTGACACTGGGCTGCTTGCCTGCAAGCCTAGCTCTGTTCCAATGGATCCGGTTGTCAAACTCAGCAAGGACACTGGCGTTGCTCTTGAAGATCCAACTTCTTATCGTGCTCTCGTTGGTCGTCTTCTTTACCTCACCATTACTCGGCCGGATATCACTTTTGCAGTTCATTGCTTGAGCCAATTTATGCATAGTCCGACGGTTATTCATCTGCAGGCGGCTTACAAGATACTGAAATACATCAAGAACAACCCTGGCCAAGGTCTGTTCTATTCTGCGTCTTCTGAGCTCTGCCTAAATGCTTTCACTGACTCCGACTATGCCACTTGCCCTGACACGCGACGTTCCATTACGGGTTACTGCGTCTATCTCGGTCAGTCTCTGATCACTTGGAAGTCGAAGAAGCAGGACGTCGTGAGTCGCAGTAGCACTGAGGCTGAATATCGTAGTATGGCACACACGACTTGTGAGCTGCTCTGGTTGCAACAGGTACTCACGGACTTGAAGATTGAGGTTGTGACCACTGCTAAGCTTTTCTGCGATAACAAGTCGGTAATGCATATTGCTACAAATCCCGTATTTCATGAACGGACGAAGCATATTGAGGTCGACTGTCATACGATTCGCGAACAGGTTAAGAAAGGCTTTATCTTGTTGATGCATGTTAACACCTCAGATCAACATGCTGATATTTTGACAAAGCCTCTTCACCCGGGTCCCTTTTACTCTCTTCTCAACCGCATGTCCATATCAAGTCTCTTCTCTTCACGGGAATGTTCCGATTCAGTGACTTGAGGGGGGTGTATTAGATTGTATAGTCCGGTTAATTCCGGTTTACATGCTTGTATAAGTTTCCTTTAGCTTACTCAAATGTATATATATACTCCAATGTACATTCATTAATCATTAATGAGAAATACGAGATTACACTCTTAATAAAATCTATAAATTCTCTTTTGCGAATGCTTTCTTTAGTGTGCTAAATTTACATATTGCAGCAATATAAAGTTATAAACTATTAAAATGCTTTCGTTGAGTAGTGACATCAAGTTAAAACTATCAAACTCTTCTTCTGTTTCACGCTGAGCTAGTTTTTTTTCAATTCTCTTCAATCGTTTAAAATGTTCATTTCTCAATTGGTTCGTCGTACTTATTTAGCAGCTCCATTACGAAATCTAGAATCTCGAGCTCCTTGTTCATCAAAATTATTTGTCGGAGGTATATCCGTCAAAGCTTAATTGATTCTCTGCTTGACTAATGTCTTTGATTAGCTTACGAATTCGCCTTATATGTATGTGAGCGTATCATGTGATTGGTTTACATGATCTTGTAATAATGTTACAGTTCATATGATGAAAATTGCACTCTAAGTGTTTGATTAAATGCGTGAGAGAAGTACTAAAAGTGTAAACACCAATGCAGGGCTTAGCTACGACACTAACGAACCTGTTTTGAAGAATGAGTTTGAAAAGTACGGTCATGTTATAAATGGTAAGATCGCTGTGAAATCTATTAGTCTTCTTTTGTGGATAAAGCAAAAGCAATTCCGGAGGTATTTGTTAATTGGTTGGATTTGATTTCAGTGAGAGTAATATGCGATCACATGAGCGGGAAATCAAAAGGTTATGGCTTTGTGGTATTTGATTCAGAAGAAGCAGCTGCTTGTGCTTTGGCTTCCATGAACAATCAGGTTTCTACTTCGTACACAGAACTATTTCGGAAAATGATATTTGTACACAGAACTTGATTTTTTTGTCTCTGTTTTGTTTCAGTTACTCGAAGGCAGAAACATCAGAGTCGAATATGCTCAACCTAAAGGAGGTTTATATCAGAAATGATTTCTCGATTTCTCAACTCAAGTGAAGCGCCAAATCTGTAGGTGTTGTTTCACTTATTGGGCTCACCATAATTCAGAAAAGGCATTCCCTCGTTACAATGTAGAAATCTATATGATTTAGCTAGAGGGTTCAAGTCGTTTTTGTAATGACAATGTGTGGTGTGGTCTTTAAGCTTTGTTACGTACTGCTCATATCAGCTGTTGGCGCTACTACATTTCTTTGTAGCTTCTGCGAATATTGTTCTGTCATGGACAATCGTAAAACAAATAACCAATTGCAAAACTCAGTCCAGTTTTTGAAGGGGCTCAATTCATTATAAGGATTACTTCTAAAAGTTGGAGATCAGTTCAATTTCATACCAAAAGCCAAGAACGAGAACTACATTTTAAGAGTGATTAAAGATTTTGTATCTTCACTTTCCATTCAAATATATCAACAAGCCACTAAGACCAGCTAGAAGAACACACCCGACACACACGAGTAGGTCAATCACAAATTCGATTCTGTGAATTATATGCCAAAGAATTTGGTTACAATAAACTTGAAACATGAGATTTAAGTTTGGAGGAGACAACTCAAGGGCTGGAAATTGTAGTTGTGGGGAGAGACGGCTGAGTGGTGATCAATGGAACGGGCTGGAGGTTGTTGGAGGGCGATCCAGGCGTTGCAGGAGGGAAAGAAGGGTAAACGGGTTTTGGATATTGAGGGATAGGAGAAGATGGAAATTGAGGAAAACTGGGTGTTGGATTGCTTGGAAAACCGGGATTCGGATATTGAGGGAGAGGTGTGGGATTGTTTGGAAAGCTTTGCCCCGAAACTGAGGATAACTGGGTGTTGGATTGCTTGGAAAACCGGGATTCGGATATTGAGGGAGAGGCGTGGGATTGTTTGGAAAGCCTTGCCCCGGAAACTGAGGATAACCGGGTGTTGGATTGGTTGGGAAACTGGGTGTTGGATTGGTTGGAAAACCAGGTCTTGGAAACTGAGGAAAACCGGTGTTGGATTGGTCAGAAAACCAGGTCTTGGAAACTGAGGAAAACCGGGTGTTGGATTGGTCAGAAAACCAGGTCTTGGGAATTGAGGAAAACCGGGTGTTGGATTGGTAAAAACCAGGTCTTGGAAATTGAGGAAAACTCGGTCTTGGATTGGTTAGAAAACCGGGTCTCGGTAATCGAGGGAAATGGATCTAAAACTTTTTGGTTTTAACGTTTGTTTCTTTGTACGATGTTTTGCTGCATGGCTTGAAGTGATCATGGAAGAGAATATCATAGCCATGACAAGAGAAGCGAGTAAGATGATTTTAGATGAGGCCATAGTGTAAGAGAAAAATAAAGCTCTTCAATGAATTGGTGTGTGTTTTTGAATTGTCATTTCTTTTCCCAAACTTGGTTTATATAGGAGCAAACTCAGAATAGATAAGACTACAATTTCTTTTCATTTGACTTTTTTTTTTTTCTTTTTATAGATTTACCAAACGGTTTCATTATTAAGAACAAAAAACAGGTAATATTGTTACTATTTTGTTGCTATTCGTTTTAATATATTACTTGTATCAACAAATTAAGCATATCCACAAGATATAGAAATGATCATGTCTTGTCAAATATCACTGTTTTACATCAATATCTAGCGAACCATAACAGCAGTTGCATTACTTGATCTCATGCTTCTCTCTAATGCTAACCTTCCCAAAAACACTTCTTGCCCACTCGCCAAAATAAGTCTCATGTATCCAATCATAGCATTCTTATAGACCAACGACATACATCATTGTATCAGGAAACTGACATGTTTCCCCAACCGGGTCATGCCAAGAACCTTCATGTCTCATCCCTGACCAATTAGCTCCCCATTTGTACACAAGCTTACCAACTCCTGCAAGCTTAAGCCATCCTTTTGGGAAAAACTCCATCACACTACTATTTTTATCCATTAGAACCAAATTAGTAAGCTGTGCACCGTGTGGTGACACTAATACATCAGTCATTCTCATCAGCTCCACCTGCTCACAAAAGGTTAAATTATTTGGATAGGAAACATTTACTTCACACCCATCTACTCTCTCGCACTCTCCTCTAAAAACATTGATCACGGCTGACTCATTTTTGAATGATCTTGCTCCGGTTCTCATAAGCAATGTCAAACCGATTCACGGTTTATGTCTTCGGTTTTGAAGGATCTCAATTAATTATGAGGATTACACCTAAAAACTCGATAATTTCACATCAAAAGCCAAGAACGAGTACTACATTTTAAGAGTGATTGAAAATTCCACGACCCATAAATTGGGGTGATGATCCGGTTTACATCAGATTTCGGTTCACCCGCAATATGTGATGACCGGTTAACATCTGAGTTTGGTTAACCCACAATATACCGTTTGATGACAAAATGACGATGTATAACGAGGTTTCCAGAGAAGCCCAATTAAACCCAAGTGTAATATTCTAAGCCCACTTAATAAAAACAAATAAAAACCTAAAACCCTAATTCCGCGTCTCGTATTTAGTTCTCTTGTTCAATTTATTTCTTCGGCTTTAGCAAAAGAGAATTGAGCGGCTGCCACTTCTACTTTCAAGGTTAGCAAAAATCGCCAGACATCCTTAACTCTATTCCTGTTTAGCATTCACCGATCTGCTCTCGTCTCTACTCGATCACACGTCTTGTAAATTTCTCTTACTTTGGAAATTGAGCTCGATTTCTTGGTGATATCATTGGATCAACTACAATTAGAGCTAAAATTGAAATTTGCTTTTAGGTGTTTGTTTACATTGATTGCCGTTTCGTATTAGCTGTATCAGATCTAATGTTGATATCTAATTAGATGTCCATTGATCTAGAAATGAATTTTGAGCTCAGATTGTGTTGTTTTGATTTGTGTTGTGTTGCAGTGAAGAATGGTGAGAATCAGTGTGCTAAACGATGCTCTGAAGAGCATGTCGAATGCGGAGAAGAGAGGGAAGAGGCAAGTGATGATCAGGCCTTCTTCTAAAGTCATCATCAAGTTCCTCATCGTCATGCAAAAGCACGGTAATAGTGTTTGTTCTCTTAATGTTAATACTTACATTTTCATTTTTCTCGAGCTTCTTTGTTCTGTTATTAAAAAATTGAAATGGAAAATGCAGGTTACATCGGCGAGTTTGAGTACGTGGATGACCACAGGTCTGGCAAGATTGTGGTTGAACTTAACGGAAGACTGAACAAATGTGGAGTCATTAGTCCTCGTTTCGATGTTGGTGTTAAGGACGTTGAAAGCTGGACCGCTCGTCTTCTTCCTTCCAGACAGGTCTGTATTTGATCTTGTTCTCTTACAGTCAAGTCTTGTTCTGTTCATGCGAGTTCTCTGTGAAGTAAATTAAATTCTTGGATTGTGCAGTTTGGTTACATTGTTCTTACGACCTCTGCTGGTATCATGGACCACGAAGAAGCGAGGAGAAAGAATGTTGGAGGCAAGGTTCTTGGATTCTTTTACTGAAGAAAAGTGGAATCTTCTTATACTTTGCTTCTCCTTTTGGTGAGAGATGAGGAATTCGATTGAGCTCAAAGTTAAAGGATAGTAGAGGTTTTTGATGTTTGTTTTTCTTAGATAATTTGCCATTTTGTTTCTTTTTTAATGGTTTTGCGTAACAGTTGTTGAAGACTTGCAAAGTAGACAGTAATGTTCAATTTCTTTTTTCTTAAAAAAAAACCTTAGCTTTTCTTGAGCCAATCATCAATCTATCTGAGACTATTTAATTTCACCTCTTGAGGCTTTTTCCCTTTATTTTGTTCTTGCTGAAAAATATTCGCAAGATCAATCAAAATCGAGTTATTCTCACTATGTTGCAAGTAATTTTACCAATCACGATATGTTTCAATCTTTTAATTTGATAAACTTAGCAATTTCAGATTATTCAGTCAGCAGCCTAAGTTGGGCCACCAGTCTACAAATGGCACTCTGCAGGGCTAGATAGATTCTCCGCTACTGTATGCATAGACATAGAGTTTCAACTTTCAACTATTGCAATAAATGCTAAACAATTCATTTTGGTTAATTTTTACCATCCGGCTTTGACAGTTTGACTAGTAAGTAAACACATCAGACCGAGAAAGGTCGGTAAATCATGTAACTTATTTGGAATAAGTTGAAACTGTTTCAAGATAGAACGCCTGAACCATATAGAAAATTACAAATTTGTAGTTCGCACATTCTACTCGCAAGATGGTACATAGCATAAGTAGTTGCACCATCCTGTTTCGATGGCTCAAGGATCATGTTCAACGTTTCAAATCCGATCTTGTCAAGTAAATAAACTTTTGTTGTATATATTTTCTTTCTATTAACCAACATAACTATGCATGATTCATACATTTTTTTTTTTTTTTTGGTTTTAATGATTCATACATAATGTATGATACATTTCATAAAACTTCACCCTAATATTTTACTTGGATTTTTTGTTATATCTGTTTATTGTCATGACCGTTCACATTTTCATACATCAAAATTTTAATCTCATGATTCATTTTGATATATGTAAATTAGGATGATCTTCAAAACATGTTCAAGGACATTTGGGTGTGCCTTTGGAGTTCTTCATATCACGGTAACAAGGGCATTCATCTTTGTTCCCATAAGTACCCGAAGGAACACAATCACACTTCTGGCAACATATCTTGCAATATTTGAGACATCGATCTTGTCTTCCCGCCTCTGAACATCTTCCGTTGCATTTTCCACCGCATGATGTGTTGGGTGAAATAAATTCACTAACCGGTCGCTCCTTAAACTCTATTATAAGCTGGAGATATGATCGACTGACGACCATGACGACCGGTCGATCTTACTTCTTAGTGTCTAAAAGGCCTTAGCATCGACATGAAGAGGCAGCGACCAACGATGTTAATTAATGGTTTAGCAGTGACCAATGGTTTGTACAATTTCCTAAATCTATTGGAGTTGTGCAGAGGACCGACGTGCATATCTAATTAAAAGGAAATTAGGAATGACGACCGACGTAGGAAATAGAAAGTTACGATCGACGTCAAAGCCCAACTCGATAAGGATTAGGACCGACAACACCTATAAATAAGAGGTCCTAGAACCAACAAGACATTCAGAAAAACACACAAAAACCCTAATAGCTACTTGTTCTTCGCCTCTCGACGAGCAAGCGACGAACAACCTAGATACGACGAACTACGATCTACGACGAGCGACAGACGAGATTCTCTTAGTTTAATCTTTGATATTGACTTGTTGTAGCTCGATATTCAATTGATTAATAAGATATCTTCTCCTGCGTCATTCCGTTTATTGTACTTGCGAACCGGTTAAATTTTGCCCAAACAGTTTGGCGCTAGAAGGAGGGGCAATTTTAACTGCGTGAGACATGGCGGCGGGAGATGATACCGCACCGACCGAAACACCGACCGTCACCGTTGCTCAGCTGGAGGCTCTCACAGCTCAGATGAAGCAGAACGAAGAACGACTTGCGCAAATCCAGGCGGAGAACGCAACCCTACGAGCAGAAAACGCGTCATTGGCTCAGGCTCGCAATAGATATCGAGACCGGTTCCCTCCTATGCAATCGTTCGACACTCCACCACTTACGGGTGCAACAGGAGCAACCCTAGGACAGGAGCTACCGACGCTGCGCAAGGTAACCAAACATTGGTTCCACCCCTTGCACCAACGATGGAACATCAATCTGAAGACTCGCATACTATGTTCTCAAAGCGATTGGAGGCTATGGAGCTCTTGCTCGCGCGACTTCCAGGAGTAGCTCCTCCAATCACCAAAAGTGCTCCTAATTGCTATGCAGACACTCCCTTCACGGATGCCATCGCTTTGGTTGAGATGCCAAAGAAGTTCATCGTCCCTTCAATGAAGATGTACGACGGGACGACCGACCCTGATAATCATATAGCCCAGTACAAGCAACGCATGTTCACAACGGCAATAGCAAAAGAATATCGCGAAGCTAGTATGTGTAAAGGATTTGGATCTAGCCTCACGGGACCAGCTCTTCAGTGGTTTACGAACCTACCGAACGCGTCAATCGACTCGTTCGCGTCATTGACAGACCGCTTTGTTGAGCAATTCGCGAGCAGCAGGAACATAGAAAGGACAGCCGACGATCTCTATGAAGTGATACAGAAGAGAGGAGAACCGTTGCGCGATTACGTAGGTCGCTTCAACAAAGAGAAAGTATCCATTCCGGCATGTGTCACGTCCACTGCCATCTCTGCATTCAAAAGAGGATTGCTCCCAGACAGTGATTTGTACAAGGAACTGACGAAGTACCAGTGCAGAACGATGGAAGATGTGCTATCTAGAGCATGGGCTCAAATAAGGTGGGAGGAAGACCCTGCATATCGACACCTACTTTCCCCACGATCTGATTCGCGTTGTTAGGAACGAGCGTCCCTCTCGAGATGACAGACCGTACCAGAGACCACGCAGTGAAAGCACTAGCAAGAGAAGCGACAGAAGCGACCATCGACCACTCAACCAAATTGAGAGCGACCAACGCTCATCATCCACATGGCCAGACATGAGTAACCTCGCAATATCTCCTGCAGAACTAGTCAATGTTCTTAATCATATATCTGGAGTAAGATGGCCTCAAAAGATGAAAGCACCAGGGGAACGAAGAGACACATCAAAGTGGTGCGACTTTCACTCTGACCATGGTCATCGAACAGAAGATTGCATCACGTTGAGAATGGAAGTAAACGAGCTACTAAAAAAAGGTCACTTGAGAGAATACTTGTCCGACAGGGCTAGGAGTCGCATCGACGACAGAAGCAATGACGAGGTGCAAAGAAAACCATCTCCTGCTCAATCTCCAAGCATGATCGAATCATCAACGTGATATCGGGAGGATCAGATAGTGGAATTACTCATTCGCTGCTAAAAAGAGTACTAGAACAGCTAGAACTCATCATGGAGATGTCAAAGCTATATGGACGACTGTCGAAGTGCACGATTAGCTTTGCTTCAGATGAAGACATGAATGTGTCCTAGCTCCACATCATGATGCATTAGTCATATCTTTGACTGTTGCTAATAGTCTGATGAAAAGGACACTCGTTGATAATGGGAGTTCGACCAATATTCTCTTCATGGATGCTTACAAAGGATTAGGGCTGGATGAGAATGCACTGACGCGAAAATCTACACCACTGGTAGGATTTAGCGGTGAAGTAAAGCAGACCATAGGAGAAGTGACGCTGCCTGTGTATGCAGGAGGAATTAACCGACAGACAAAGTTTCTGATACTAGATTGTGCTACTGCGTACAACGCAATTATGGGACGTCCTGGATTCATGACATGGGGGCAGTGCCATCGACACTCCATCAAACCATAAAATTTCCTACTCCATGGGGAGTCAAAGAGATCAAGGGAGAACAAGAGCATGCACGTTCATGCTACCAAACTACCCTAAAAGGGAAAGGTCATGAGCTATATCAACTAGAGATCCAATCGTCGATTCCACATACCAAAGAAGCAGAGGTGGAACAACTCTGTGAGATCCACTGACGGAAAAAGATCTTGATGAAACGAACCTCGAAACCTACCTCTTCTAGGTTAGTTTGGCTTTCAGTGTTTTGGTTTTATTTATTTCGTTATTGTCATAGTCATAGACGATCCACGAGATGTCTCTGCTTTCAATTGTTTTTCTTTACTTCGCGCATGTCTACGGACGAACTTCTTAATAAAAGGTTTTTCTACATATGAGTATTTAAGAATTCTCAGATTATGTTCGTCACTCGCTTTAATATCGACGTTGTATCCACAACTAGTGACGAGCGACAGTCATTGCACTGCTTATGACAAACGACAGTAAAAAAAAAAAAAAGGCATTGCCTCCTCATGATAGAGCAACAACGACGATCGACGTTTCTTCAAAAAAAAACTAAGGGCAATGCCTCATGAGCAAATTGACCATGGTCACTAGGAAGATAAGAGTCATGTACTCAATGTATATCGACATCGACGACAGTCGCTGATAACTAATTTAGAGGTACGACCTCCACATGTTATGACGACAAGTCATAAAGAGTCATGTACTCAATATATAGTAAGGCGATGACAGTCGCTAATAATTGATTTAGAGGTACGACCTCCACATGCTATGACAACAAGTCATAAGCAAATAGATAGAGAGACATGTCCTCAATATACAGTGACGACTGTCGCTACTAAATAAATTAAGAGGTACGACCTCACCATGATAAGTCATGATATAATAAAGAGGTACGTACTCAATAGATAGCGACGACAGTCGCTAACAAATAAGTTAGAGGTACGACCTCCAATAGACTATGATGTCACATCACTCTTTGATTAACAAAGGGGCACGACCTCCAAATATTATGATCATAAATCATTAGCTAACAAATGAAGAGGTACGTCCTTAATCTGTGACAACATCTACAAAATCAAGAGGTACGTCCTCATGAAAATATGACAATAAATTAAGGGGTAAAACCCTCACAATCAAGTAACTGCTTATCCACTGAGAAAGCAAGTTCTGAAATCATCAATGCTCAACAATAGATGAGCCATGTGCCTATAAATTTGTTGTGGTCAAATCCAAAAGGGGACTACATCCTTGTCATTGCATCTCCTATGTGTGTATGTCCTTGCGCACCTCTGATATAAGATCCATGAGGTCAATATGTCTGTTGTTGCACGGCAAGTACATACTTTCGAGTGACCAACCAAAGGCAAACATATAAAAAGTGTTTGTTCTTGCTGATTTCTATTAGGTCGTATAAGACCAAGACAAAAGGTGACAAAGGAGCGACATACAAAAAAAAGTAAATAGTATCTACATTAGGGAATGATCAAGGTTCCAAGCAACATTATCAGCAGCGACTGGCGACTTAAAAAAATATCTTTTATTTCAAACTGGAGAGAATGAAGGTCGACGATTTAAAAAAAAAGAGGTACAAGCAAACATGTTTGTCATTGGTCATCTTCTACATAAACAACTGACACAAGCAATTGGTCTGTTGGACTAATATTTTGGAGAGTCCCACGTGGGCACAAGAAGAAAAGAGAAGCCCATTTACCTTTAGTCACTCCTACATTTTTATTTTTGTCACTATTGTCTGTCCCTCCTATTTTTCCATTTTTAAATGATGTCACCTACCTACATAGAAGCTCGTCACTTTTTGGAGATCCCCACTATCAACACCAAACATAGAAGGAGAAAATGACTTTGTTATTTTACAGTCAAAGCTCACATGAGCAACAAGCAAAAGAAGTAAATGGCGACCGACCGACAGGAGAGATAAATGTCCCTTTTATTTTTTGGATACTTTCATACAAATAAAAAGAGTATTTGTCACTCTCCTTAAGAAGAACTTGCGTGAGCGACAGACAAATGCGCAAATAGGTACGTTTTTCTATTTCTTATTTGAATTATATTATTTTGGAGTTTGTTATTCTACTGGGGTGTCCATCTTCATGGATATTTTAGAAGGGACCATGCCATTAGACGATATATGCTTTTTCGTACGCCGACGTTAGTAAACGAACAACAGTCACAAGTGACATGAGCAAGCGACCGACGATATGAAAATGAAGTCTTACTCTACAATTCTAAACAAGAAATTGAAGAGTAGGGGGCAAGTTGTTGGGTGAAATAAATTCACTAACCGGTCGCTCCTTAAACTCTATTATAAGCTGGAGATATGATCGACTGACGACCATGACGACCGGTCGATCTTACTTCTTAGTGTCTAAAAGGCCTTAGCATCGACATGAAGAGGCAGCGACCAATGATGTTAATTAATGGTTTAGCAGTGACCAATGGTTTGTACAATTTCCTAAATCTATTAGAGTTGTGCAGAGGACCGACGTGCATATCTAATTAAAAGGAAATTGGGAATGACGACCGACGTAGGAAATAGAAAGTTACGACCGACGTTAAAGCCCAACTCGATAAGGATTAGGACCGACGAACACCTATAAATAAGAGGTCCTAGAACCAACAGATTGATTCAGAAAAACACACAAAAACCCTAATAGCTACTTGTTCTTCGCCTCTCGACGAGCAAGCGACGAACAACCTAGATACGACGAACTACGATCTACGACGAGCGACAGACGAGATTCTCTTAGTTTAATCTTTGATATTGACTTGTTGTAGCTCGATATTCAATTGATTAATAAGATATCTTCTCCTGCGTCATTCCGTTTATTGTACTTGCGAACCGGTTAAATTTTGCCCAAACATGATGCTTGTTTTTTTTTTTTAATTAATTATCCCACCAAATAAAAATTTACAATCTAGATTTCAAATAAGAAATTGTTTAGAATAACTAGATAATTTATGTATAGACTTACATGGATCGGCCGTTGAGAGCATGGACAAAGAAGATGTGAGGAGAAGAGAGACAATGAAGAATTGTACAACCCCGAACTTCATCCTCACTCTTGCTGTGATCGGAATTTTCGTTTAAGTTTTGCTTGGATAAAGTTTGTTACTTAGGGAAGATGAAGAAAAAAAACTCAAAAGAAGTGATGGTATGGGAGGAGTAAAATGAGGCTACGTATTGGACTTATTTATAGTGAAAATCCTTGGAGTAGGCTGTAGGTGAAACGTGATCTTGATAACCAAGTGTTTCAGAGATTTACAATATACTACACATAATTGTGTACAGTATATTTGTTTCTAGTAAGAAAAGGAAAAGTATGGGCTGATGATGATTAATTAAGCCCAACACATTTTAATTCAAAATGGTCACTTAACAATCCTTTTGCTAGCTGAATATTTTGTATAAAACGGTCACTAAATCTGTTTTGCCAGCTGTCTATTTTTCTTTGGCGGTCACTAAACACAAAAATAATATCAGATCCTCCTTTTAACAGCTGTATATATATATTCGGGATTTATAACAAACGCGATACCTTTTTTTTTTCTTCCTTCTCATAATTTCTTCGTTCTCTCAAACTCTCGTTTTCTTTCTCTTCGGTGCGATTCAGAGATTTGTTGGAGCGTCATCATCACCGCACAAGGTTTCTTCTTTTAAACTTGTTATGCGTTTTTTTTTTCCCCGGTGCGAGAGTTCTTTCTTTCGCGATTGTGTTTTTGTTCTTCAGAATTTCGATTTAGGTTTTGACTTAGCGAAATTCGATTGCGCTATTTCTTCGGGCTTTAACATCGGATTTTTGTTTCCGTTTTAGATTTGTTGTCTCCAGATTCGGTCTTTAGAGGTTTTGAGTATTTCGTGATTTCCAAATCGAGAACCCAAATAGGGTTTTTGTTTATTTCGAAAGCCCTCTTTTCTCAAACTCTCGATTATTTCCAAATTCGATTGCGCTATTTCTTCGGTTTTTAATATCGAATTTTTGTTTCCGCTTTAGGTTTGTTGTTTTCAGATTCGGCCATTAGAGGTTTTGAGTATTTCGTGTTTTCCAAATCGAGAACCCAATTTGGGTTTTTTTTGTTTATTTCGAAAGCCCTCTTCTCTCAAATTCTCGATTACTTCCGTGATCAAAATCCCTCTTTTGGATATATATAACGCTTTCTCTTTTAGATTCAAAGTTTCGATTTAAGATTTCAAATCAGCAATTCAGTCTGTTTTCAAGTGTTTTTTCTTCTTCTTCAAACCCAACATTACGATTTATGATTTCTTTCGCCAGTTGTTTTTGGTTTTGATTTTCTCTTGAAACCCCAAAAAGATCACAAGGCAGACACTAATCTAATAGCGTTCTGTAAGATTCTTATTTGGGGAACATTGTCCCGTCGTCTCGAGCCTGGACCCGAAAGGAATTTATAGCAAGGTTGCTAATTTGAATCGATATATGGGTTTGGTAGTGCATGCCTGAAGGATATTAGGGGATGAGAAATAAACGCT